GGCAGGCAGGCAGGCAGGCAGGCAGGAGCATCGCATCATCATCAATGCTGGCAAGCGGCGGTGGAGGAGTGACGGAGGAGTGGTGCAGTGCAAGTGGAACGAGAGAGGACTCATCGACAGTCGATAGTCGTCGTCGACATCAATGAACCGATCCGATCCGGTGAACCAGCGGAAATATTGAGTCGTATCTGTGTCGCGAGCTGTACACACACACACACGTCACACACACACAGAGAGACAAAACGAAAAGCCTTTAATCGACAGCAACATATTCGATTTTAATATTCATATGCCGTCGTCATAAATTTCATGACAACGGCAAAGGCAAAGCGAGCAGAACAGAACAGAACAGAACAGAGAGCCGTGCAATATATGAGGGCATTGATAGGACTATCCACCGCCTGGTCTCCTCCCCCCCGCCTCCACCATCGACAGAGAGAGAGAGAGAGAGAGAGAGAGAGCCCCGTTCGTGGGTGAATTAAAGCTGGAGGATGACTCACACGCACAAATCACGAGCAACTCGTTACTTGAGCGACATATAATTTGGGTTTTGTTGTCCTTTTTTCCCCTAAGAAGGGAACGTGCTGTGGCCTTGTGTCCAGGCAACTCTCTGAGCTCTCGCTCTGTCTCGACTAAGCCTCTTTTTTTTGTAATAATACCCAAAGCCCTTTTTGACTTGATAATCACATGGGTTTGCATATCATTTGCCCTGGCTCTGTCCTCTGTCCCCTCTCAATTACGCACATATCTCGGTCTGTGGGTCTCTCGGTCTGTGGGTCTCTGGGATGCCTTTTAAAGCGTCTTCGAGGAGATGCCACATGCGGGGGAATTAAACAACAAACCACCCCAAAGAGAAGGCCAGAAGCAGCCGCAAGAGTGGGACATTTGCCCAGGGATGGATGGATGGACGGACGGGCGGGCGGGCGGCAGACTACGCATTGCTCATTACAACAGCAACAACAATCAAGGAGAAGTAGAAGTAGATGAAGGGCCAGAACCAGTACCGAACAGAGGTTCTCTTCTGGTTCTCTTCTGATGACGCCTGACACCCTTTGCTTCCGTCTCCGTCGCCGGGGCTCCGGGGCTCCGGGTCTCTCTGTGTCCGTGGCGCACTTCAAAAACTTAACCGTTAGGCATATGCGTGATTATCTTTCCACTGGCAGCAACAACAACAACAGCCAGTGGGAGAGTGAGAGGCAGCAGCAACCCTTAGTGTGGCAGAGGCACTGGCAGTGGGGGCATGGGGGTACCGGGGCCCTTCAACAATTGCGCGCTGACCCAGTTACCCGGCAACAAAGGCGGAAGCAAAAGGAAACGTGCTGAAAGCGAGAGACGAGAGGAGACAAGGCGCGGAGAGCAGGGTATGAAAAGGCACATGTCATCATAGAAATCAGTGAGTGCCGGCCAGCAGCTCTCCTCCTCTGTGGCACTGGCCAGGCCCTCGGCTATGGAACGTTGCTTATGAAAAAAAAAAAACAACGGAAAGGAAAGAAAGGGGGGGAAGGGGGCATACAGAGAAGTCAGAGACAGAGAAGGTGGGTGGTGGGTGGTGGGAAAATTCATTAAAATGGCACAGAGGCGAGACAACAATGAAACGGTCCACTTGGGTCCGCACCGGGCGGACAGTAGCCAGTGGCCCAGTGGCTTATCGGCCAGGCCAGACCAGGCCATATGTGCCACACACACACACCCACCCACCAAGAGAGAGGGAGAGAGAGAGAGAGAGGGATGGAGATGGGTGCGGATGGACATCCAGTTAGTAATCAAATATTTAGCATACTTTTTAGAAAGCATATTAAAATAACATTTCCGGCCAGCTTGGCAAAAAGGAAGGCAAATCGTCGCAAAGTCCCATCCGGCGAGGCAGCAGGAGAGGGCATTAGCCGGAGTCCATGAACCGTGTAATGCACACTCTCACACCCACACACACACCTACACAAGAGAGAGAGAGAGGCGAAATCCCAGTGGCATGTGGAACAGCCGGCACTTGGGGAGCGTTAATGTGCCATAACGAATGCATTAGAGACTTGTACTAAGTAAGCGCCGTTAGTTAGTTAGTTCCACTGAAAGGGTTGCCCCAGCGAGCCACGTGGCGGTGGGGCTGGGGAAGCAGGGTATTTAAAATTTAATTACCCACCACAGTAATCCAGCCAACCAGCCCACTGCTCCTCCTCCTCCTCGTCCTCCTCCTCCTCCTCCTCCTCCTCCTCTGGCCTCAAATGAAATCCAATATGCTGTCCAGAAGAAGGCACAGAAAAAATGTGCTCTGCTCTGAAGGGGAAAACATATGTTGCTGCCGCTGCCGCTTCTGCTACTGTTGTACAATGCCACACGGAACAACAATGAACAGCAGCTTCCCCACTGATATCATTACTCAGCCGCCCCCAAAACACACGCACACACACACACACACGCACACACACACACACTCGGAACACGGAGAGCTTCCTTTCTTCTTTTGGGCTATCGAGGTCTTTTTCCGTTGTTGTTGTGATATTATCAAGTGAAGTGCTCCTGCGGTTAACATATTTACTCTCCCTGTCTGGTTCTCCCTCTTTCTGAGGGATGGAGGGACCCTTGGCCCTCAGTTTTAAAGGTATTTTGGGGATGGAGTATCGAGTATCATATCCTTCTACCCATACCTGTCACTTTGGGTGATAATAAGAGCCTCGCAAGTAGCCCTCAACACGAATATATACCATGATCACTGATCAGCTGAAAACAGAATAAAAAGCCAAGCCCTACTGATCTCCCGATATGCCTCGCAGCTGATAGGCTCTACTGAACCCAAAGGATTCGTAATTATGATGATCAGAAGAAGAGTGAGAGTGAATTATTTAGGTTAGATGGTTGGTTTACTGTTCCGAACACGTCTTTAATCAACTGATGCGCCATTTAGAATGATCCATCCATGATCCATGATCCATCCATCCATGATCGATCTACATACTTTTTCATCTGGCCGTATCTTTGATATTTTCCTGGAGTGGCCGTACATTTATGCGTTCTTAATCTAAGCTATTGGCTGATATAGGTTGTAATGGGTGATGGGGGTTATCCTACCACATGATCCATTGACAGATCGATGAGAATAAGCAGAGTAAATCGAGTAATTACGACAATCACAGGAACATGATCTATGCTCTGCTGATCTGCTGATCTGCTGATCATGATGCCTGATAGAGGCATTCCATTCCATTCATAGAGGGGCAGAGCGTCTTTGGAGCAGAAAAGCACAATCGAATGCTTCCTCTTGTGTCAGCAATAATCTGTATTATTATTTAACGGCATTTGCTAGCTCTGGAAACCGCACGATAGCTGCCTCTGCCACAGGCAGGGTATCTGCCACATCTAGTATAATGCCTCGTGGCTCTCATATCTGTTGCTGTTGCTGCCTTTGTCTATTGCACACCCTCTCTTTCTATGCTTATTTCTGTGTGTGTGTGTGCCTTTTGGCTTTTCTTATTATTCCTATTACCACATTCTGTTGCTGTTGTTTTTGTATCTAAGCTAATTCCTTTATGTGCCGTGTGGCGTGTGGTTGTGTGGCGTGTGGCTGTGTATTTGCACAGGGGAGCATATAAAACGTGCAGCCACATAAAAATAAAACCCAAACAACAAACAACAAAACAACAAAAGCAAAAAGCAGCAGCAGCGTAAAGCAGAAAAAGCCAAAAGCGCGCAACGGATGATAAGCCAAGTGGCAAGAATTCAAGCGTAGTCAGCATTGATAGCTGATGGAGTGGAGCTGCCTCTAACTGGGGCGCGGGGCGCGGGGCGCGGGGGGGTGCGGCATAAAGGTGCCTACTTCACACAAAATTACCCTTTTCAATTTGTGTGTGCAGAAAGGGGGGGGAAAGTGGGGGAGAGAGCCAGAACTCGTTTATTGACTTTTTGTCATTGCCGCTAATGCATAGCAGGAGGAGGAGGAGGAGGGGGAGGAGGAACAGTACCAGGAACTGAACAAACAGACATATGTAGAGTCTCCTCCCTCTCAGCCAGACACATCCTGTGCTCAGTCCTGCCAGAGGATAATACAGTCAGAAGTAGCTGTGAGGGAGGGGGGAGCAGCTTTATTTTTATGGGACGCATTACGTTTAATGTTTGGCTTACTCTCTCTCTCTCTCTATCTCTATCTCTCTCTCTCGAAGCCACAGCCTCTGATTCCCAGACATTTCTATAGCTCCTGGCTGCCGGCTGCTCTTTCGGTGAGTGCCGTAATTAAGTGTCACATGTAATTACAATACACTCATGTGCTTTGTAATTAGAGTTTAGCGCAGCCAAAAAAGGACACCCCCCATGCGGAACTTTTTCGCAAAAAGCTAATTCCAATGAAAATGAATACATAGCCCTCCACATGCCGGTGCAGAATTTCGAATCGGGGACAAGGAGATTTAAGTTCGAGCGCAGCCTGGAACGGACGGATTCAGTGGACACTGAATGGCTAAGCAAACCGGAAACCGCGAAGCGGAATGATTCGGACCGACGATGATGGGGGGGATTATTATAACTATAATTTACTGCCACTGTCTGTTGACTCTCGACTGTTGACTCTCGACTGAAGCCCCAAGAACCGCAAGCCCCTAAAAAGCAAAGGCAATGCAAATGTCGCCCCCACTTGAGGGCGGTGGGGTTTGCGCTCTGTAATTTATTTAATCTGCGTAAATAGCCCTAATACAAATATTTATATTGTTCTCTCTCTCTTATTTTTCTCTTTTTATGTACGTATATAATGTATACCTTCATCTACTACAAAACTACAAAACTACAAAACTACAAAACTACACAACCACTACCAATAAAAAATAAAACCAACTGCCTACTGAACTGCTGTATAAAACCATCTGTAATCAATCTTGAAATCTGTGCCTCTGCCTGTGCCTCTGCCACCTGCCAACTGCCACCTGCCACCTGCCACCTTGCTCTTGCCACATCTGCCACATCTGCATCTGTATCCTCTACTCTACTGTTAACTGTCTCCACCGAAACGCAACGCGCAGCGCGGAAGCGACGAACTTTTGAGTCAAGCAGCAGTCATGGCGCCCGCTTCCGACAATAACAATCAGGACCTGGCCACAAAGAAGGCCAAGCTGGAACCGAGCACCGTGCTGGCCGGCGGAATTGGTAAGTCTTCGCTCTCTCTCTCTCTCTCTCTCTCTCTATCTTTCTTTTCCATAACTATCATACTTTGTATCTGTGTGCGCTCTCTCTCTCTCTCTATCTCCATCTCTGTCTTTGCTTAAGTGCGGCTATAGTTTTGTTGGCCTTAAACTTGGCCACAAAGTCGCCTGCTATTCGCCTGAAGGCACTTTGTGGCCTATGGCCAATTAACCTACTAATTAGCATGGAAAACAAGCCAACGTATGCTGTTGCCCAGCAAATTATTAAGGAGGGTGCGACGGTAAAAACAGAAAAAATAAAACGTGGAAGTGTACAGGACACCGATGACTGACCACGCCACGCACTGTGTTGTGTGTCGGCACATTAATTAGCCGCACACACACACACACACACACACACACACGAGTGCTAGGGGGTGTTACAACCCCTGGAAGCACTCTCTGCATATTGCCATACCGCAAAGTAATAAAGCTAATCAAAAACCGCACACCAAAACCCGGCCAAAACCGTAACCCAACGCGGGCCAAAGCGAAAGCAAAACCAGTAGAATGAACCACACATTAGGCAAATATTTGACAGGTTCCCACTCGCTCGCCCGCTCGCCCGCTCGCTCGCTCACTCGCTGGCTCACTCGCTCACCCGCTGAATGTCTCTCGCTGGTTCACTGGCTGAATGGTTTGTCGGTTCGTTGGCTGGGATGTTGCAAGGAAAAATCCGCTGAACCACAAAATGATTGCCACTGCAAACAAATCAATGGGCAACAATTTCCGGCTGAAATTCAAAAGTAATCGTCGACTCCCCCCGGTCCCCGCCCCCGCCCCCGCCTATCGATTGTTGTTGTTTTGTTGGAGGCGAATTTAATTAACGCCATAACGCAGTGCAGGAGATTCTTTTTGGAAAGGGGGGGGATTTTTGAAAATTCTTTTGAAATTTCGCTGTAATTAACGTGTGGCATGGCCCCGCCCCCGCCCCCGCCATCGCCCCACAAAGGCATCGGATCGACACAGCGGTCGTCAAAGGCCATAGAGAAGGTCCCGAGAATTAGCCATTAGCCGTATGGCACTTCTGGCTTTACCCCCCCCCCCCCCCCCCCCCCTCGTCAGACAGTCAAAGCTCACACACACACACACACGCAATGGAGTGGCAATGAGCGAAAGGAAAGGAGTGAAAATGGCAATCGACACTCGGGCGGGATGAAAAATAAACGCAGAAAGCAGAAGCATAATATTTATTTATTACTTTACAAAGGACTTTTCTATTAATTAAAAAGCAACAAGCAGACAGTCCCCCCCCCCCCCCCCCCATCCTTCACCCCATCACACACACAGCCATGGACAGAGGAGAGTTCACCTTTCACCCTTGTCGCCTCGTCCATTGTTCGATGTCCGCAGACGAGGCGGCTGGCGCTGACCCAACGGCATTTTGGTGGCCAGTTCATGCATACGCAGGCCCCCCCCCCACACGCTTGACACCAGCCACCTGCGGCCATTTTAATTTTCCACGCAAAGTTCTTGTGCAAACACACGCCCACCCACGCACCGAGAGAGCGAGACGGGGCGATTTCCGTCCTGCTCCATTAAAGTCGCGGCCAGCTTAAAGAGTGAGCCAGGCAGGGGCGGGGGCGGGGGCGGGGAACGAAGCATAAAGGCAGTGGAGAGCTGAAATCCCAATGAATTCATTCATGTGGTCGCTGCCTGTATGGAAACCACTTAAAGACCTGCTCCTTCCCGCTCCTTCCAGCTCCCTCGCTCTCCGCCCACTCTGCTTCGATGCCGAAAAAAATAACAAAAGGAATTGCTAAATAAATGTATAAGGACACTTTTATTGCACTGCAAGCGAGCCGATACATGTGGCAGGAGGCGAAGGAGATCCCAAGGAAAGGACGAGCGGGATAACAACAAAAGGCAGACAAGTAAATAGCAAAAATCCAAAGAGCAACAATGAGCATTGTTCTCTCTTTGTGGAGGCCTGTGCCTGGCCGGGTCCTTGGACAAACACACGCACAGGAATTGGCCCAAAACTGTCATGTCCCTGCCTATTGACTGCCCCCAGTGTCCTTTCGTGTGTGTGTGTGTGTGTGTGTGTGTGTGTGCCAATACATCGATACACCGCGAACACTCCACACTCCAAGGTACCTGCTACATGCCACATAGCGGCAGCAGGACATGCAACAAATTTTTCACGTAAATGTAATAAAAACACTTTGGCATGTGCAATGCGGGGCAGCCGAGGCGCCACGCCCACCCACTTCAAGCGGAGAGGAGTGGGGTCCTGGGCTGAAGCACACTTGTAGTAAGTGGAGCCCCTCACCCCCTCTTCCCCCACTTGGGCAAATGCAAAAGTGCGCCGTGGGATTTTCGGGGGTCGGCTAATAAATAGTTTCATTTGATTTATTTGATTTTTTATTATTTGGAATATTTTATGCAAGCCCTACGAGGCCCCAGGGAGTCGCAGCGGCAGCTAATTTGTGGCGCCCAAAGCCCTTCGAAGTCTAGACCTAGACCCCGGCTCCGACCCCGGCTCCGACCCCAGACCGACCCCAGGAGCCGTGGCATGGCCGGGTCGCGTGTCCATGCCATATGCAATACGCTCCGTGTCCTGCCGTTTCGTTTCGTGTCGTAGGTGAAAGCGTGGCCAGAGCCGTGTGTTTTTCCTTTGTTGTCGCCTCGCCCTGCGTGTGTGGTGGCGGCTATTGCTGTTTCAGTTGCTTGTTTATTGTTACAGCTCTCACACATGCATCGTCCTTCTCCGCCTCCCTCCTCTCCGGCGATCCTCCTCCTCCACTGTTTGTACAGTCCACCAACATTTGTTTGTTTATTGACCGATTTTGGGGGCTTAACGGTCAACACACACACACACACACACACCCATTGTTAAAGGCGGAGAAAGGAGCAAGAGAGAGTCCTACCGCTGCAGCTGTTGCCTGTCCGTGCGTGAGGATGGTACTGTATTTTTTCGGTTGATTTTAGCATTGCTAATTCCTCCGCCAGACAAACGGATAGACACGGCTCGGAAAATATGCTGAAAAAATAACTTAAAATTACTCTTAACCAGCCATCCATCCGGCTGCCGGAACTACTCCCTTAAGCCCTCAAATCCTGGCTCTTCAATCGATTTAAAGCTCAAGGACTCCGCTCGGAGGGACTCTGGGACTCTCCGGCTCCGGACTCTGTCATCTGTCATCGGCGGCCAATCCCCTTGGACTGGTCAAACACTTAAACGCTTTTATTGCCATAACCAATAAGGCTACAGTTTGGCAGACACCGAATCGGTGTCCTCCTGCCTTGTCTCGGATATCATTCGCACGTCTGCCGCTCCTGCTATGCGTTGCGTGTAAATATTTTCCCAGTCAATAAAATAATATTGTCATAATTTTTTTTTTGCTGCTCGTGGAACGACGCGGTCTGTATCAATATTGAGACAGCATTGAAAGGAGGATAAAAATCCGAACCAGACCGTGAGGCAAACAACAATTGTCCACTGCCGCCGGCCCCCCGGATTGTGGCCTTCCCGCATCCACGTGTGTGCTATTTATGGCCGCCACTGTACGTGAGTGCGGTTAGTTGAGAGAGAGAGAGAGTCCCTGGCTTGACTTTCGACTTGACTCCAAGACCTGATCCCGGATCCATGCCGGATACAGTGGATATTTGTGTGCACTTTAATTAAGCATACGCACCGTTGACGGCCCTCTCGCTCTCTCGCCATCCTTTGCCGAGTAATTATAATGCACAAATGGAGTGGAAAAGTTCTGCAAAGGCTAACAAAACTTAAGCACTTGCCAGAGTCGGGCCATGCTCCGAGTGTGTGCTCATAATTTATACAATTGATATACTTCATGGAGAGCCACTGCCACTGCCAGCTCTAGTTACAGACTCCTGCTCCGCCTCGGCAGCCTCCTTGCCCCAGTTACAGGCACAGACACAGTCGCAGTCGCAGTCTGCTGACATGGAGACTGCACGCTAAAAGGCAATGCAGCTGCCTGTCGAGTGCCCAAGACTCCTGTGGAAAGGAGCCCCCACCACCACCACCCCCTTATTTTCGTAATTGAAATGCAATTAAAATTTGTAAACGTCCCACTCTGCGTACATTGACTCTTGGCAAGGTCTCCCCCAAGCCCCCCCCCCCCCCCTTTCGTTCGGCCTACAAACATTTTTTAATGAATTACATTTCTTGCGGGTGTTAGACTCGAGCTGGGCCTGGGCCAAAGAAAATCGTTATTTTCAATTATGCCACAGGACCTGTCTGGCAGAAGAAAAAAAAGGAAGAACGAGGGAGAGGGGGGGGGGGGTGTAAAATGCAAAACACAAACACAGCCGCTGGCATTGAGTTACGAAAAAATTTGTGCCATGATTGATTATGTGTGGGCGGCAAATGTTGAAATTAAAGACAAGGAAGGACTCACCCCCCCTGCCAAAAGCAAATATCATTAAGTCCTTAAGCATACACAGACAGAGACAGAGACAGGGGGAGAGAGGGGGGGGGCACAGAGAGAAGTTTGTGGAACAATTTAAAATTTATGATGTGTGAGCCTGTAAAAATCTAATTTACTGTCGCATAATTAAAGACGCAAGGGGATGGCATGTATTTATTCAAATTATATATTCAACTGTTGACACACCCAAAAGGCAAAAGTTTCATCTGTCGTGGGGTGGGGAGGAGATGGTGGGGGGAGGGAAACACTGGCCTGGCGTCACGTCACGTCACGCGCGCGCTCTCTCTCTCTCTCTCTCTTTCCTTCTCTCTCATTAAATCATTAAATGCCGCCATGTAAGCATAAATTTAATTGTTATTAACAATCAGCACTTATTTTGACTCCTCCACACGGGAAGGCGGGAGGCGTGGCACTTTTCTTTCTGGCCTGGCCTTTTGTTCAACTCTACCGCTCTACCGCTCTCCCGCTCTCCCCTGTGTCTTTTCCATTCATTTTCATATACAAATTTGTACGTTTCGGGTTTCTGTTTGCTTTATGAATTTAAATTGTCATTAATTAACTTTTGTGCGCATCGAATGGGGCCTGAATGGGGGGCCGGGAGGTTGGAATTATTACACATACGCGTGGAGGTCATGGAGGTCCTGCCGACCATCCGTTATGGGCCCCAGCATCGTCCTGCGAACTCAATTACAGTTTGCAAACTTTTCAATTAGCTATAAATAGTTTATTTATGTGTATGTTTTTTTTTGTTTTTGTTTTCCTGCAACTCATGCAACACGAAGTGGCCGGTGTGTGTGTGTTTAATTGAAAAGTGCTGCCTCAAACGCTTTTCACTCTCACTCCCTGTCCGTCCGTCTGTCCGTCTGTGGGTGTGAGGCTCATTAATACTGTTGAGCCCAACCCCCCCCCCCCCCCCCACATCCTTGCAGCTCATTTCAACGCGCAGCGGAGCGGATGATTGCTATTCATGGCCCGATCATACCATATATCCAGGGTAGGGACATTGACAGGACAGCAAGCATCATTATCGCATGCAAATTTTTTCGTATCGCTCCTGCAGTTAATGTATCTTTTTGCTTGTTGATTTAGCAACATGCAACGCGCACGAGTCTGATAATTACTTTGATGTTAATTCATTGTCCAAGAAGCACCTGACCTTTACCCCCGCTCTCTCCCCAACCCCCGCTGGTTCCCTGTCCCTCGCACGTTTTTCTTTGGGTTTTTTAACTCGATGTTAATTAAAAAGCAGCAATGGCCATAACTGGCGTAACAAATCCAGCCGCAGGCCCAGCAGCCACCCACCAAAAACAGAACCAGAAACAGAATGATTCAAATTGCACTTTTTCGCCCTTTTTTTCCGCCTGTTTGTTTGTTAGACTGCAGCTTGCACGGGTGCCAGTGCCACTGGCTGTGGCAGGCACTGTGGCAGGGACTGTGGCAGGCAGTAGCTGTGTGCTCCGAGGGCTTGTTGGCTATGTTTCCGGCCGTCGTCAACTCGTCGCCATCTTCCTTTCCAATTATGCCCCTGCCGCCCGGCCGCTGTCTGCCTTTGTGGCAGTGCCCCAAGGCGTCTGCTGCGCTTTCTGCCCGGCACCGGGTTCACTGCAGTTCGAGTCCCGTTCTCTGTGTTCTCTCTCTCTGTTCGGTTGTCGATTTGCACAGACATTTCTTTTCTCGTTGTCACACCATCAAGCAGCGTTTGTTGCGATTTGAAACAAATCTACCAATGCCCCAGCAGCAGCGGCAGAAAATCATAAAAAATATAGGAAAGTGGTGGAAGGGGGGTGAGGGCGAGGGCGAGGGAGAGCCAAAAACCAAATTGAGTTGTTGATGGGCGAACGTCAAAAAATCCACAAATTCTGGCAGTTGTTGCTGTTTTTTTTTTTGTTTTTTTTCTGTTCCGTTACGTTACGTTCCGTGCCCGGCGACAACGTCATCATGAATGATAGATACTTTTACATATTTTCGCTGTCGATGGTTTTTCCGGCAAACTGCCCAACGGCACTTGATTTGTTGTTTGTCTTCTGCAGAACATTTCCGCCGTCCCCCCTCCCCCTGTAGGAGTGCACACTGTACAGGTTTATTTAGTTTTCGATTTTCGCCTGTTTTTTAGGGGTCCGTTATTTATGGCGGAGCCGCTTTCATCGCCCGTTTTTGCCTATTGATTTTTAATAAATTTTTGAGCTGCCGAAAGGACTCAAACGAGACCGCACGGGGGTGTGGGGGGTGGTGGGGGGGGATGGCCTGGATGGTTGCATAATTTCGTTTCAACTTCATTTCCGTTTCGAACTAATCAAAAAGTGTAATTTCCGATTAGTTGTATTCAAAGGCGGAGGCGAGTTCTGCGAGTGACCCGACGACCCGACGACCCGACCTGACCAGAGTGCAGGTCGATCCTCTCGAAAGTTGGCTCGACTTTTCCTCCAGCCTGCCGCAAAATGGCAGTGGGAGAGTCCTTTTCATTGGCCAACAGGTTCTGCTGTGGCCCGGTATAACAAATCGGAACATTGACCTGGCCTGGCCCCCGGCGTCTGTGATTGAAAGTGGAAGGGAATTGGCCGGATAATGACCCTTTTACTTTATGAGTTACGGCCGGACTTCGGGGGGCTCCGAGGGCTCCGGGGGCTCCGGGGGCTCCTCGATTTATCTCAATCCTCGGCATTCCTAGCATACTTATGCGGGCAAACGAGTCGCATTCAAGCACTCGATTGTCGTGCCTTAAATTGGGGAATAATTTCGGGGCAATTAAAACGGCAGATGGACCGGCACTCACCGCTATCTCGGCGTCCCCATGTGCTGGTGTTTTGGCTTGTTTAGCAAATATCCCAGAGAGAAAGCAGCGCAGAGGTGACTGCATTTCATTTGCATATAAACACCCCGAAAACGAGTCTGCAGGTGCATGCGGCGTTGCAGGTGCAGTTGCCACAACACACACAAAATAAAAAGCGAAATAACGAAACGAAACAAAACGAAACGAAACCAAACACATTAACAGGTGTTGACTAAGCGCCGCCCGAAACGAGACCCCCGCCAGAGCCAGAGGGACAGAAAGACGGACAGATTCCAGTCCGGTCCTGAGAGGGGGGAGGGGGAGGGGTAGGGGTAGGGGTAGGGGATGTGCTTTGGTGGCTTATAAAGAGTGCCAAAATTTGTTTGCTTTTGTTTATAAAAATTTAAGGCACTTTTGGACAGGTGCCTGCCGGGGATGCAGGATGCAGGGAAATCCCAGAAATGTTGCAGGGCCAAAAGGCAGCACCGGCAGCACCAGCAGCAGCAGCAGCCTAAAATCCCATTTGTGCCCCCAGTCGGGGGGCCTTGGTGTTGCTTTATTTATGCAAAAATAACAAACAAGCAAAAGAGAGGAGCAGCCAGAGAGAGAGAGCGAGAGAGAGAGAGAGAGAGACGGAGCGACAGCCGACAGAAGGGCCCAAATGGCGGGGCGAGTGGCTAAAAGCCTCAAACGTTGTCTGTGCTGCTGCCGGACATTGTCGCCGTGTTGCCTGCTGGATTATTCACAGCCGTTGAAAGTGTGCAATGAATGAATTTATGGGTTCTCCTTCTGCCACTCCCCTGCTCGCCCCTCGGAGGGGTTTAACTGTGCAACTGTGCAAAATGCATACAAATGTGGCAACGTTTGGGCATGTTATCAACATTTTTATTTGCATCTGCTGTGTCTCTTTGTTGCCACTGCGAAACCCCTCCCTCCCCTTCCTACCGAAAAACAAACAAAAAAAAATAAACAAATTAAGTGAAGCGCGGAAGCGGAAGCGGAAGTGCAGACAGCGATGGCCATTAAGTGAACCCAGAGAGCCAGCAGGGCAAAGGGAATTGCCAAGAGAGTGGAGTCTCTGGTCTGTGGCAGGGATTGTCAACTGTTTAATATTGCACTTTGCTTACAAAATGCTCACCTTTCGTTGTGTTCTTTTCCCTCTTTTTTTTCTTTGCAGCCAAGGCCTCGAAAGTCATCCACTTGCGGAACATTCCAAACGAGTCCGGCGAATCGGATGTGATCGCTCTGGGCGTACCGTTCGGTCGCGTCACAAACGTCCTCGTGCTGAAGGGCAAGAACCAGGCGTTCATCGAGATGGCCGACGAGATGGCCGCCACATCGATGGTGTCCTGCTACACAGTGAATCCTCCACAGATGCGTGGACGCATGGTCTACGTCCAGTTCTCCAATCATCGCGAGCTCAAAACGGATCAGAGTCACAATGTGAGTATCCCCTTGTGCTGGAGATCGACGATCCTCGATCCTCGATCCTCGATCCTTCCAAAAAAAACCTCTTACTTGTAGCTTTGTTTCACTCTCCCGCCTTCTAAATATCTGTTTGTATTTCGGTTCTATAGTTCTGCCGGTCTTAAGTGTTATTAATGTGGCAATTAAGTTTTGGGTCTAAAGAAATCTGCGATTTATATGCAAATTCTGAAACGGGACGGCACCGAATGTGATATGGGACCCGTGCCCGTGCCCGTGCCCGTGCCCTTGCCCGTGCCCGTGCGGTCGACCGAACCTCTCTGATTAATTACAGTTTCTGGGCAACTTAATTCCCATCCAGCCAGAAAGGAGAGCCCAGAGGATTCCCATCATAAATGCCCAGAGATCCACAGAACTACGGGTATCTGTGTATGTCTCTGTGACCCACTGTTTGTTTGTGTTTGTGTTTGTGGGTGGGGGAGGGGAATGGGGAGGGGGAGGGGGAGAGGATTCTAAACCAATTTCTAATTTTAATTTCGTAAGCCACAAAGTCACTGACTGAAGTTTAAAAAGCTTTCAAATAAATACACATGGCCGCACAAACACACACACAGATACATAGATACACAGATACAGAGATACAGACACACACACGTGCCTGACAAAAGCAGTAAAATGCATAGTTTTTGGGGTTTTTGTGGGCAAAACCCCCACCCCGCCCAACGCCCCCCGCCCGAATGGAAACCACACGCATACCAAAGCAAAGCGACAAACGAAACAGGACTCTCATACACGGACAGAGAGGATATGCCAGCCAGCTGCTTAGCTCAAAGTCAAAAGCATATTTTGATTACTTAAATGAAAGTGGGTGGGTGGGGGGGCCCAAAGCGGTGTTGTCACCTTTCGAGGGGGGGTAGTGGGGGGTAGTGGCACCAGGTGGCACCCCCCATCCTTTTGATGGCTTTGTTGGTGTGCCCGCAAAGCAAACTACTTAAAAAGAGATCGTCGGCCGAAAAAAAAAAAGGTTAAGAGGCTGCAGCAGCGTGTGGCAAGGCAGGCCGAGAGCCCCTGGAGAGCCTTAGGAGTAGGTGGCAGCCACAATGGGGCAGGCCTCGAACAACAGCTAGACCAACACAATACAGTTACATTTCACTGATTACCTTTTGGCTGTGGTCCCCCCTGTGTGTGTGAGTGGGCAGATTTCTCTCTCTTGTTAACTACTAATCCTAGTAAAAGGCCTTGTTACCCCAACCCCAAGCCCAGGGCAGCCCCCCGCCTCGCCACCTCCCCCGCAGACAAGTCAGACGAGTGGAAAAGTCAACGCCGCTTCCCATAGTGCTTGTTGTTGCTGCTGCTCTAGTGGAAAATCTCTTAAAATGCATGAGAGGGAGCACAGAGGTTTAATCTTGTGTGGCAAGAGCCTGTCGCTGTCGCTGTCGCTGCCTGCCAACATATTTATACAATTTCTCATTTCATTCAACTCCCCTCCATTGTGGAACATGTCTTGTGTCTTGTGTGCTGGTTTTTTCCCCCCCCCCGTGCTGATGGTGTAACAGATTCTTTCTTTTGCTTTCGGCCCTCTCTCGCATCTTAGCAACTGTCTTCATTGGCTCCCCCGCGCGCCACACCGCACCGCAGCGCACCGCCTGTCTTCTAGTTGTTGTCGTCGTGTGCCCCACCTGGTGGCAGGAGCATTCGCCCGATTGTTTGGCGACTCTTGACTGTTCCTTTATTTTGCCGCTTGCGTCATATTTCGCTGCTTGTCATTCGTTTGGTGTCTGCCGGTCTCCGGCTGCAATGTGCAGGGCTTCAGATAAGATGCTTGGAGAAATTGAAGAAAACTGTACGGCAAAGCGAACAACCTGGAGAGGCAATGCTTTTTAATTCGCTCGTTAGTTGTAGATTCCCGCCCAAAGATCCTAGATACCGCCCTTGGCCACAAGGATTTGCCTGCTTTAAATTTATGTAGCAGCAGGAGCAGTGGAAATGTTGTGCCTCCACACAGAGGGACACAGAGAGAGAGAGAGACAAATCCAATGCATGGCCTTAAGGGATTTTAACCCCAGCAGAAGAGCAAGGAGCACCGATGGGGGGGGGGGGGGGGGGGGGGAAACGAAACACGCACCTGAAGGCAAAGCTTCGACGACAGCAGCAACAGCAAATCAGCAATACAGGATTTCCAAATCATCTCCTTCCTTGCCACACGCACACACATAAACATAAACATAGATACACACACACACACAGACACACACACAGAGGGAGAGAGAGCATAGCACAGCACATGTGAGATTTCAACGGCTGAGTGATTGCACGGTATAGAAAATAAAACAAATGGGAACCGAGGACGGGATTGGAATTGGAATGGAAAACCAAGCAACAGGAATGAAAAATCCTGCAGCGCCTTGGCCCCCCCGCCCCCTCCCACTCACACACACACACACACTCTGACATTTATGTTGGCAATTTGGCAGTCAACCGGCAATGGTGGTGCTGCTGCTGCTGCCTGCCTGCCTGCCTGCCTGCCACTGTGGCAGCCACTTCTGCTGCTGCTGCGTAACAGGATTCTAATATGTCATGTCTTTGGGATGTCCTTTCACCTTTGCCACGACAGCAGTGGCAGTACTCCTCCTCGGTACTCCCACCTTGGGCTTTTCCTCTGTCTCTATTCTCCTTGATGTCTCTTTTCTGTGTGTAGCATCTTAGTCCGCCCTTCGCTGCTGCGGCGAACCTTGACTAAGATTCGCAGGAGCATGGCAGCGTGGCAGCGTGGCAGCGTGGCAGCATGGCAGTGTGGCAGCCCCGAAATGAAGATAAATGCACTGTGGCAAGTTCACGCGGCTACGACCACAACGAGCAACGAGCTGCCCGCAAAAACCCAAGAGCTACTCCGACCCCACAACCTCCAAACCCCAAACCCCAACCTCCGACCGACCCCAAAGGTCCGCCCCAGCGTTTCCTGTATCTGTATCTCTGTCTGGCTGTGTGTCTGTCTGTGTGTATTGTTTAGTGGGTTTCAAATTTGACATGTGATTGTTTTGTCCCTGTTGCTGTCTCTGGGCTCTGGTCTCTGGGCTCTGGGTGTGCTGCCACATCTGTTGCCGCCTTTTCCCTGGGTCTACGCGTGAGACGGGCCCAGGGATTGTTGGGTAATTTTGATAAATTAATTTTTGAGCTTCTGGCCTCTCTTTGAGGGAAAAAAGGGTTGACAGGCACTTGGGGAAATGGGACACCCAGAAGCCCAGATTGGGACACAGTATTAGATTGAAACAAAGTCCCGAGTCTCCTGTGCAACATTTGGCCTGCGCCTAAAAGGATTCATTAGATTTGCCCACAACTGATTAATCGTCCTTCGGCTGTCTCCCCGAATGGCCGTCGAATGCTGGAGCGCGCGTTCAAGTGCGAACAGTGAATGCAGGTAATCATCCTAATTGGCACTTGCCACAGTCCACTGCCACACGCACAATCTCCCAGAGAAGTGCAGTTCCCCAAAGGTGTGTCCTGTGCAGGCCCCAGTCCCGGCCGTGTCCTGGCTGTGGCAGCTGCTCGTTTCGCCCCTGGTTTTAGGGGGCTTGGGGCTTTGCCTTGTAATTAAATTAAATTGCCGGCTACAGAGTGCAGCATTTTACTGTGAAATTCTAGTGTTCAAACAGAACAGGAATAACATAAACAAATGGCGAATCGCAAATGAAAGGCGCCAAGAAAAAATCCAGTGATGGACATTCGGGTGCGACAGCAATTGTCAATTAATGGATGGCATATCCGATCCGACTACGAAGGGGCAAAATTAGGATGGAACACGTGGGTGGGATTAGTTTTCGCCACAATTGACATTTGTGGGTGGAAAAGGGAGGCGGAGGGGCCCGAGTTGGAGGCCAAACTAATACAAATGTCAAGCGATTAAGCCACAAAAGGGATCAAACTGATTAGCAAAGGCTTATCACAGCCACAGAGAGAGAGAGAGGGAGAGAGAGAACGAATGTCCTGTCTACACGAGTGTATGGGGAATATAGGATATTTAGTTGCAGGCGCCATTTGATTTGGTGTTAATAATATGAGCTCCCCCGATGGCTCAGGGCTCAGCGGAGACGGAGAAGGAGACGGAGACCTCAATGTTTTATTTAATTTGCTGCCTGCCTGCCTGCCTGCCTGTCGTCCTGACAGCCCGTCGTCGTCGTCGTTGTCGAAGCCGAAGCTGATACTGAGGCTTATAGGGACTTTTCCTTTTGGCCCGCTATTTGTCTAACTCTCAGGCGTGTGCAGTTAAAGGATTTCGACGGGGCAAATAACTTCACATATGCCAAAGCAGCTCGTATCTGTGTATCTGTGTATCTGTGTATCTGTGCGCTCGTTGTTTATTTTTCTATGCGTGGCTGGTGTTTTTCTTTGCTGTTTTCCCCATTTTATTTTCACGTTTACTTTTGCGCCTCCATCCTCAAAGGAGGCACTCGCAGCAGCAGCAGCAGGAGCAGCAGCAGTAGAAGTAAGCTAATCTTATTGTTTTCCCAACAACAGAAGGAGCAACAGCATTCCGCGTATGTGGCGGAGGCAGCCAGGCAGCCAGGCAGCCAGGCCTCCCCGCTGATCCTTTGAGTTATGCGGAGGATGCAGGAGCTGTATTTGCTTATACTTGTAGCTTGTAGCAGGCGAAAGCTTTTTGCCATTTTGATTGGTGACGTGTTGAAAATGGATTTAAATTACATTGTTTCACACACTCGCGTGTCGTGCCGCGGAGTACCTTGGAGTATCTTGGAGTATCTTGGAGTATCTTGGAGTATCTTGGAGTATCTTGGAGTACGTGAGCGGAGGGCCCGACAACTGTGTGGGAAATGGGTCCTCCCTCTCTCTCTCTCTGTGTGAGGCTTCATGCACGGACTTTTCCTACAGTTAGAATGTCAATGTTTTCATTGAATTGATTAGTTTTCTATTACGGTTTGCCCCAAAATGCATGTTTGCCTTTTTCCCGTTTCCCGTTTCCCTTTTCCTTTCTTTGTTTTTCTATGCCCCCCGTGTAGTAATATTTACTTTGTTTTTGGGCAAGGCAGCGGATTTTCCTGCTTTGCGTATTTATTTATGGACCTGGCTCTGGCTTTGGCTTTGGCTCTGAGTCCCTCTCGAAGCCAAAAAGGCTTTTAACACATTTTACGTGGTTTCTATTTTCGTTTGCCTTTTGCATAAATAAGACAAATATTGTTTTGTTTTCACTGTAACCGCTTCATGCACTTTGCACAAGTTTCAGCCAAGCTCCCTTCTGGCTTTGGTATCCTCTCCTCCGCCCGCCCTCCTCACCTCTCATCTCCTCCGCTTTTGACCATAAAAACCACGCAGCATCAGCAGAAAGGGGCAGAAGGGGGAAGGGGGAAGGGGGGAGGGACTGTTGGGGCAAGCAGATAAACGACTCGCTCTGTCGTTGGTGGGCAACCGCAGCAAAGTAATACATAATCCAGAGCTCAGCTTTAAAACTTAACTACAGAACAGAACCACCTCATAACTTGTCGGAGTACGAGTGTTGCCAAAAAAAGTTTACACTTTTGCAGCTTTACGCTCGTGGTTCTGGCCACGAAAAGGCCAGCAGCTCCTTGGCGAACTTGCCACGCATGCAGTGGCAGTGGCAGTGGCAGTGGCACTGCAGTGGTTGCAGCAGGAAGCTGTGGCTGCTTCACTTCTTAACTTGGCCCACAGCACTTAAGCCCGGCCAAGTGCTCGCTTGACTGAGAGGCGACGACGACGACGACGACGACGATACTTGTGCCCTCGCCCCCAAAAGGGCTCTGTGCTTCATGCAGTTTAAAGTGTGCCGCCGCCGACTCTGCCTCCTCTGCCTCCTCTCGAGGAGAGCCCAAGATGCTGAGGCGGCACTCAGTGTGACATTGCAATGAAAATAAACTTTGAGCCCCAAAAAAAAAAAGAAAAGGGGGGCGGGAAAAGGGGGAAACAAAAATATTTATGCAAAACTTCGGGCGAAAGGCACCTTCGATATTCTTTGGCGCCTGTCCTCCGCCGCCAAGCCATTCGCTGGCTTTATTTCTTATGCAAAAAAAAAAGGAAAGGCACCGTCGACAAAGTGTCACATCAGAATCGTAGAACAATTGCTGCGAAAAGTTTTGCTCTGCGAATATTTCGAATAGTCTTGGAGTTTTCTATATTTTGTTCGGGTTCGGATTGGTTGCCAATAGCTCTGCCACTCGGCGGGGGGGATGTGAATGTACCTCTGTAGTTTTCGGACGGACATACATATGTCTCCTTTGTGTGGATTTTCCCACCGGCAACGGGCTGCGATGCGATCGATAAATGTGCTTATCAGTTGCCTGATACTTTTAGCTTATCAAAGCATTTTGGTTTATCAAATGCCGCATTATCGCACGGAAGGATGGCGGCGGCGCGGCTTCTCGGTCATATTAAATTATAACAATGTGGTGGTGGTGTGTGTGTGCCTGTGTGGTTGCTTGTCCATGGGTATTGGTATTAGTTGGTGTTTGAATACATATCTAATCAATGCCACATTCCACGCACACTACGAACACCGACAATGCCAGGAGGAAACACACAATTGACTCATTAACAGGCAAAACCGCGACAAGCAAAGACCGACGCAAACACACAGATACATAATCATACTCCACACACGCACACACACACACACACACACACACACACACACACACACAGACGGGTACCGATTTGCTTTGTTTAATGATGTTGCTGGTTGTGGTTGCCACCAGCCCCCCCAGACCACCAACCCCCAGCCCTAGTCCTGTGCCTGTTTTGGACTCCAGTCCGCAAATGCTGTCAGATAATTAGAATACCTTCGACCAACACTACTCGTACACCCAGAGAAAACTGGGGCCGTGATAGTGAAATATTTAACATAGTTAAAAAAAATATATATTTCGCAAAAATTTATTTTAAATTTTTTTATACTTCTATTAAATGTTTTCCGTATTTTCTAATAAAATCCAAATTTTTGCATATAAAAACGGAATATTTTATTTGCAATATATGTTTGGTTGTACGGCCATTTTTCTCTGAGTGTATGCATGCCTCTGACTCGGATGGCGGTTATTATAAAGCCATAAATAGCTACAAACTGTCTGGAAGTTTGACCATTCTCCCAGCCCCAGGATGGGGGGGGGGGGGGCCAGCCCCAGTGCCAGTTCAAGTTCCATTCTCCGTCCTTTGGTGAATGTTGTGTTTGTCGTCAATGGAGGAAGGCTATGGCTATGCACAATTATCGGAGTACTTAAACGCCTGGCAATTGCCCACTTGACAGCTAGTTAATGTTAACCAAGTTTAAACCAAGGGCCAAAAGGAAAGCGCACACACAGACGAGTGGGAGTGGGAGTGCGAGTGGGAGTGGGTGATGGAAAGCAAGAAATAGATGGGCAAAACGCTTCTCAACAATTACATTACAATTTTTACACAATCAACGTCATCGTCATCATAATAATCAGGCAAAGTGAAGTATCAAATTACAGCAGCAGGAACGGCAGGAGCAGCGGCAGACTCCAACGCCAGCCCCGGGACTGACTGGTCTCCCACAGGCATCTCGAGGAGGAGGAAAGGCAATCGAAGATGAAGAAGCCGCATCATCGTTGCCTCAGGGGCAGAGGCAGGGGCAGGGGCAGGGGCTAGGGCTATACATTCCACATACGACACGATACAACGATACGGCGTGTCTAGCCACGCACACAGGGCAAAGAACATGCCACAGCACAGCGTACAGCACTCTGGCAATTCTAATCAATTTTTATTATTTTTACAAACTTTGGCAGGGCCATAGCCCACAGCCAGAAGCAGGCCCACACAGGCAGGGGCCACAGCCAGAGCCAGAGCTAGTCCTTGTCTTTTATCTAGGAGGATAGCAGCAACAAATAGCACGCCTGGGGAGGATTGACGATGGCAATGGCGACCAGAGAGGTTTCTCTCCACTTTCCGGGCTTTCCTCCTGTTGCTGCTGACAAACGCACAAAAAAAAACAAAAAAAAAAAAAAAACGCGTCGCAAAGGACGAACGATAAGGCTCGATGGGGTGGGTGGTTGGGCAGGTGGGCGGTCGAATGTGTTTACGTTATGATTTTCGGAATCAAAATTCAGCACGAATAGGAATAAATTTACTTCCGAATGTCATTAAATTGTTTTCCGATAGAACGTGTATATTTCCACGCAAGAAGTTTTTCTCTTTTGCTTCCTAAGAGCCTCGTCTGGCAGCCACCCATCACTGCGTCTCCTTCATCATCCTCGTCAGCGGCAGACTCCTGTCTCCACCTCCGTCCCCCCACAGAGCTTCCTTTTATTATTACGATACTTGATATTATTGATTTTGATTGAGATTTATGTGGGCTTGGGTCCCTCCTTCCTGTATGCTTCGCTCGCTTCCTTCAAACCATCGTTTAGCATATTCCTGGCTGTGTCCTGGCTGTGTCCTGGTTGTGTTCTTCCCTTCTACAAGTACAAGCCTTCAAAAAAAAAAAGAAAAAAAAGAGGAAAACTTGTCGGTTGCTGCATAAATTTTGTGCAATGCAAGTTCTCCTTCTGCTCTCTCCCTTTCGCTCCTTTGATTAATGCGCAAAATTTTTGGCGCCTTTAACTAATAAAAGTTTTCCGGGTAGTAAATTGACTCAACATCTTTATCATCTTGGTTCGTTGTTCTTCCTTCTGCTTTCAGAACTCGGTGGGGCAGAGCGACTACCGCATCCAGTCGCCGGCCGGCGGCTCTCCGCTGCCCCTGTGCGCGGCCAATGCCACCAGCAACAATGCCAACAACTCCGGCGACAGCAACAGCAGTGCCGTGGGCATCTTGCAGAACAACACCAGTGCGGTGAATGCCGGGAACAACACGAACGCGGCCAATGCCGCCGGCGGCCCCAACACCGTGCTCCGGGTGATTGTCGAGTCGCTGATGTATCCGGTCTCGCTGGACATATTGCATCAGATATTCCAGCGGTACGGCAAGGTGCTGAAGATCGTCACCTTCACCAAAAACAATTCATTCCAGGTGAGTGGTCCTCCCCCTCCAGAGGAGTTGCCGGGACTCACACGCCCTCCCTTACGTTCCCGTTTAGGCCCTCATCCAATATCCGGACGCCAACTCCGCCCAGCACGCCAAGTCCCTGCTGGACGGACAGAACATCTACAACGGGTGCTGCACGCTCCGCATCGACAACAGCAAGCTGACGGCCCTCAACGTGAAGTACAACAACGACAAGTCGCGCGACTTCACGAATCCGGCGCTGCCGCCGGGCGAGCCGGGCGTCGACCTGATGCCCACCGCTGGCGGCCTGATGAACACCAACGATCTGCTGCTGATCGCCGCCCGCCAGCGGCCCTCCCTAACAGGTGATAAAATAGGTAACACGAACGGAACATTTTCCCGATTTTCTATCATTTATGTTTTCCTAAGAGCTTCACACACACACACAGAAACACTGTATACACACACACACACACACACTAGATATCTATGCTTTGTTTCAGTCTTTTTTCTGGCTTTACACTCGCTATCGATTCGTCTCTAGACCGTAGCGCTTAAGTGGCATGCAACAACATTGCACAGCACAGCCTTGGACTACCCGTACTAACGGCCGATCTCTATCTTTGTCTTGCAGTCAATGGATTGGGTGCTCCTGGTGTCCTGCCACCGTTCGCCCTGGGCCTGGGCACACAGCTCACCGGCGGCTACAGCAACGCCCTGCCCAATCTGGCCGCCTTCTCGCTGGCCAACAGCGGGGCCCTGCAGACCACCGCACCGGCCATGCGCGGCTACTCGAATGTATTGCTCGTCTCGAATTTAAATGAGGAGGTGAGTCGCAACAGTCTGCGTTCTTTTCGATAGATCTAGTCTACCTTTAAGTAGTCCCGAACCGCTGCCAGGGCTCTCCTTTGGGTGCTCCCTTCCCCCCTACCCCCTACCCCCTACCCCCTCCCCCCTCCAACCTACTCTCTTTCACACTGAAATATGATATATTTATGCGTAAAGTCTTTCAATTAGTTTGCCTTTCATGTTTGCGTAAATACCATTCCTTTTTTTGTGTGTGTTTTTTTTTCTAGAATTTTTTCCAAATTTGTCGCATATTTTATTTGCATTTTAATTTTAAAATCCTTTGACATTTTTTCCGCGTCTTTTATCGGTTAAGCAAATACCAATAGTGCGCGGCAGAGTGCGTTTATTTGATTTCTCGCATTTCACACAAATTTTAATATTAACTTTTAAATAAATAAAAAATATATCAAATATATATTAAAATGTATGCAGTCCTGCTTTGGGCCAGAGAGACTCTTTTTCGGCTCTTTATTTTCGCTCTCTCTCTCTCTCTCTGGTCCAAGGCCTGATCTGATCTTGATTCATTCTGTAATCTGTATTTTGTCATTGATTTCTCTACTGTTTATCGTTTACTTTTGTTTGTATTTTTATTTGTAATACACCTAAAACGAATCTCTCGCTAACTGACGACAAAACTCTCTATTTTCTCTTTTTTCTCTGTAGATGGTCACGCCTGATGCTCTCTTTACCCTCTTTGGTACGTCTGCACATAAAAACAAAACAAAAAAACCAAAACCAAAAAAAAAAAAAAAGAACCGCAATACTTTATTAATTTTTATGTTTCCGCTGTCTTGTGGGCGCAGGGGGGCAGAGATGGATATACCTACATACGTACTCGTAGAACTCGCTCCAAAGTATCTCTTAGCTCTCTCTCTCACTCTATCTCTCTCTCCCTCTGCCTTTGTAGCCCTCTACCACCTCTGACTCTATCTCTAGCCGTACCAATATGCCTGCGCCAACACACAACGTGTCCCCCATATATTTACACTCCTTGAACAATTTATAAGTAGTTTACTTGATTATTCATTGAATTTACACTGTACTACGGACCGAGAGTCGAGTCTGCCCAAAGGCCAAAAAAAAAAAAGAAAACCAAAAATTCACAGTGGCTGCTGCTCTCCTGGTCTCTCTCTCTCTGTTTCCGCTTCCGTTTGGCATTTACGCCATTTACGTGCAATCAGCAAAAGTGCCATGAATTATTTATATGTGTGGGAGCATGGGAGGAGCAGGCGGATGAGCAGAAGGGAGGCTGGTGGTGGACAGGGGCAACAAAGCAATAGCTGACAAAAAAAAAGTGCGAAGAGCGGAACATGCAACGGTGGCACATAAAATGCATCTGCCAGCGGAGGTGTCCCCCGCATGCTTCTGCAGTACTCCCCCACCGCTCGTCTCAGAGAGCGATCGAAACAATCTAGGAATAGGGTTAGCCGAGAGCCAATAATCTCCCCCAGGAGTTGCACGATTGTGTTCCTCGATCAGGCCATAAAGCCCATTTGAGTGGGGTTTCGGGGGTGGGGCGGGTGCCTGCACTGTGCCAGTATTTATTGTATTGCCAAATGGAAAGCGACCGGCTAAAGCCACCAACAAATGGCTTTCTAATAGCTTTTTGCCAGCTGCAGGGGCCAGCAAATCCATCTGGCTCCAGCAGCTCGAAATTGAAATAGTTGTGGGTCCAGTTGGAAGTCCCTCTGACGTTTAGCCAGTCATAAGTTCTGCTTACATATTGTAAAACAATGAAAATACCATTCCGCTCCAACGTCATATACATATATTAAAAACGGAACAGTGAAAGGGGAATTCCGACCCATGCTTCTGGCAAAAGGCAACAAGTGAAACCGCACTCGGGGCTAGGAGCGGCACCCACTCGGGCTCCTTCTGCACCACTTGTGCATCCGCTTGTTGCTTCTACGACACACGCTCTTCCTCCTGGCTGTGTCTGTGTCTGTGTCCGTGCCTGTGCCTGTGTAAAATTACATGAATTAAGTGTGTGCTCGTGGCTTGGGCTCTCTCCGCTCTACGCTCGCCCCATTGTTGGGCTGCGGCCCAGGGGGCCCCGGGGCCCGAGTGTGGGCTAAAATGCATGCACAAAACACATGCTTTAACATGTGCTCATCCTGCCACACACACTGCCGCACTGCCGCACTGCCGCACTGGCAGCACAAAAGATTGAGTGCGGAAGTGCATAGCTATAAAAATGTCCATTTATTTAGTTATCATTGCGCTTGTTGCTGTCGCCATTGTAGCTCTGTGTCTCTCTCTGTGTGTGTGTGTGTGGTCTGTCCTGCTCTTCCTTCTACCTTCCACCTTCCACCTTCTCCTATATATACGTACATATATCCTCCTTTTATTCCACACACAATCGCAGTGTGTTGTAGTTTTTGCTGACTTTTACAATTGAAATAAAATTTACTTGTGAGTTTTCGTAGTCGGTTCGGCTGCTTCCTTGGCTGGCTACGAGTCGGAGGGTTCTGGGATTCTGGAGCTCCTCTGTCTCTTTGCTGGTTTTTGCCTCGTCTGTTGTCTGTTGTCTGTCGTCTGTCGTCTGTTTGCCAAATGAATTTAACTAACTTTGTAAAGTTAATGGGGTTTGCTGTTTGGATTGCTGTGTCCCTCCCTCCCTCGGTCTTGTGGGTGTGTGCGATGTGGCTGGTTTTATTATTTTACAGGATTTCCACTTGACTTTTCACTTGCGCCTGGCTCTGGCTCTGGCTGTGGCTCAGCATTCGTCCGTTATGTACTTGATTTAATTACCAAAATACATCGATTGTGCAAGTTTTTGTTGAATGTGTTCGTATCTGGGGGCCATCTCTCTCTCTCTCTGCAGCCGAGTGTGGCGCATAATTGCAGCATAATGGATTTTGTTGCCGCAACAGAAACAAGAACCCAACCTCCAGCCCTCGCACAATGCCACAGTTCTCTGGTGTATTTTTCGAGTGTGTGTGTGTGTGTGTGTGTGTATGCACAATGCCAGGACTCTCTGTGGAGGGGGAAGAAGCAGCAACAATGTTAAGTCTCTCCCTCTCCCTCTCCTTCTCTCTCTGGCTCTCTCTGTGACTACCTTTGTCTCTGGTGACACAAAACGGTTTGTTTGTGGCAACACACACACACACACACACACACACACATACACTCACCCATACAGAGACACACATGTGAATGCGGCTCTCATCCTTCGAGAGGAGCCTTTGTTTGCATGCAAATGCATTTAATTTGAGTTTAAATACCCAAATATAAACTTTTGCCAAACAAACGCAACCACACCGCATGAGTCCAGGAGGGCAGAAGGGTCAGGGGGCGGGTCAGTGGGGGCTGCAGCCAGGCACTGGCTCGGTCCAGGACTGGGGTGCAGTAATCGGTCGTTGGTTTAAGCCGATTGCCTTAACCTGGCCCTCGTTTGCCTTTGATTTATATTTACGACGCACAAATTGCATTGCATTCTGTCAGCAGCTTGGCAGGGGAGCCGAGGATGGGGCGGAGAGGGGGGCCTTATCGCTCGGAGTAAGCAAAAATTTGCCAAACGTATTAATTGCTTAAAAAGTGTCCGTTGTTTGTCGATTCGGGGGTTTGGGGTCTGGCGCAGACAGTCCTTGCGGGGCGGGACTTAGGGCAACTGAGCCACAGGAAAGCCGATCAGCAGACTGCTTAGTAGGGTGCAACAGCAGGGGCTCTCCAGCAGGAGCTCTCCAGCATCCTGTGGCAGCTGCCAGTGCACTGCTAATAAAGCTTAGATTGCTGATTAAACGCTCCAAAGGAGGAGGAGCAACAGCTCCAGCAACAGCTCCAGCAACAGCAGCAGAAAAAGAAGAAGCTAAAGTAAGATACATCATACGCACCGTTGCACAGCCAGAACGAGAGCGAGAAGAACGATAGAGGGCATGTCAGAGATGTCGATAAGTTGAACGTTAAGCGTATTATTATTGGCCTTCTTTCCAGCCAAGGCGAGAGCCAACGAAGTGCCAATAGATTTAGATAAACTTGTTCGCCAGCCAGCGTGTAATTGACGGCATCTGCCCCGGCCCCCAGACAGGAGTGGGCCAGGACTCGGGCAGGAGTCGGGCAATCAGCCAAATGGCAAGCTAAAATTTTATGTAATAACCTTTGAATTTCCAAGTAGCTAAGCAGACACGGGACAGACAGTGGCACAGACACTTAAGAGGCGGGTTGTACGACAAACAAGCGACTGGCAAGTGGAGAGCGGCAAGTGGCAAGCGGCATAGCGGCAAATGGCAAATGGCAAACGGCTGCTTTTGTTATGTTAATGGCAACACGCAGGAGGGACACGTAACAACAATTTCCACATGTGAGGCCGAGGCACGGCCAAGGCGGAGGTGGCAAATTTTGCACTTCAAACATGCCCCAAGCTCAAAGGCGCTAAGCATTATGGGGGAGGGGGGGGGGGCATGGGGCAGGGCCATTGTGCGGTTCGCTGCTTGCTCACCTGAAAGCTGTTTGCATGCCAAATAATAAGAGTGCCACGCACCGCCCGGGACAAACAAGGCACTTCAAACGGCAGCGCGTTTAGATTGATCTAGCCATCAGTGGCACACAACAAAAAAAAAAGGCACACACGGAAAACCCAGGAAAAGTTTGGCCCCGAAAACCCTTTCGGCAGACAGACATTTTATTAGTTTTGACAGCGCTTTGTTGCCTACGCAGGAGAGGACGGAGGACTCAATCGAGACCAGGCCCAGGTCCAGGCCCAGGCCCAGGACCCAGGGGCTCTCTGGGGCATGCTCTTTAGACACTTGACACATGCCGCTTAGGCTGTCAAGCATTCAATAAAGTCCCTTCCTCACTCAAGAACCACCCAAACACACACACACACACACACATCCATTCCGATTCGATCTGGAGATCTGGGAGGATGGGATTGGGTTGGATTTGGACTGGGGAGTCTCTCCAGTTTTTGCATAACAATAAAAGAAAACTTAATCAGTCTGGGAAACAGGGCACACAGCCACACAGCCATCGACATATGTTCTGGCTTCTGTAATCCGCTTACGTAATTGTAATGGCGTGATAAAAATTTATATGATTGCCGAAAATATGGCGGAAACGTGTTTAATTGAATTTTTATGCGTTTAGCGAGTGAGTCCTTGCTGCGTGATTTCCTGTGTGTGCGCCAAATAATTTCATCAAATTTTATGCGCTACATGTTGCGGCAGAAATGCAATTTGATAGAGTGCCCGCCCGACTGCCCGACCACCCGCCCGCCCGCCCTCCGGTACAAACGGAATATCAATGCTTTTCCCATCAGCCGGCAAATCGTTTTAGTTGCGAAAAGGTGACAAACAGCCGACGTGATTAAATGGAAGAAACCGCACGGAATTTAAATTTAATTTCTGCCATTAGATAGATAGATAGATAGATACGGGATACGGGATACGGGATAGATGCGAAGGATAAAGTGGGAGAGAGTAATCATATCCCCATCGATCTCTGGGCGGCCACAAAACTTTATAGACTCTCGGGCTAATGTGCCAGCACCAGCACCAGCCGCATATTTCTTCATCTAGAATATGCTCAAACACACGACTAATGGGCCATCTGGGAGTCGGCGTCGCTGTCTGCATACGTTAGTGTCGCGCAGCCGAAAAAAAACGCCCGAGAAGGAATAAAAAAACGGCAGAAACCTCGAGGCAGCCGCAATGCCAGTGCAAATATAGCCGATAATAAATTATTATCAAGTCTGTCGGATGCCGTTTGTGGCGCTCCTGCCGGCTCTGCTCTGCCGCCGGGTGGTTTCGGTTCGAGGCACTTTGCATGGCAACCGGCAGCTTCTCATACGCCCCGTTGGACGTCAAGTTATGCTGGTGACTGGTGCAGCAGCAGCAGCATCAACAGCGAGAGGAAATGGGGGAGAAGGAGAACGAAGACCTGGCATTCAATACGCTCCACTGCCAATACCTGCATATAGCACTAGGTCCCAGGTCTGGCCTGCCTTTCTTATTGCCAGCAATTGTTGCTATGAAATTTTCTGGCAAAACGAAATTTTTCGGTGTTTGGCATAAGTCAAGTTAGCAGTTTACGCTGCAGAGGATGCCCTGCCACAGGAGCTGTGAGTCAGGTAGCCAGTCGTCTGTATAAAATGGATTTACTGCCAACTGTTGAACTGTGTGTCCTGCTGCTCGCTGCTCGCTGCTGGCTCCTGCTCCTCCCGGGCACACTATTTACGAGTGCGAGTACTACCTGCATTTCCATTGCTACTTTTGTAACTTGTTAGCGCACCGCTCGCTTCGCTACGCTTCGACTGGCTGCCGGGCTGCCTGGCTGCCTGGCTGCCGGGCTGCCCCTCACTTTTATGGCCACATTGCTTCCCAAGTTTTAACTTCCTTCTTTTTTCATGTTTTCGTGTGGATCGGACTACTGCGAGTAGTTGAAAATTTACTTTGCGCATTATTCGATTTGTTGTCTTGGGCAGCGGCAGATGGATCGGGGGCAGGTCCTGCACTTTACATTGTTTGCTTTGGGGCTGCCCTTGCGACCCCTGGCCGAACCCTGGCAACTATTTTTTATGCTTGATGGCAATTTGCGCTCTGCTTCAAATTTGCCGCTGATTGGCTCCACATGGTTGAAGGGGCCCCAGAGGGTTGCGGAGCACCCAAGGGCCAATGGACCGACCTTCGGGCAGCTGTCAAAGCAAAAGTCCAATGACCAATCCCAGGAATAACAAGGGCCACCCACCACTGCCTCTGCCACTGCCTCTGCCTCTGCATCCCCAAATACTTAAATTCTTAAAGTACGTGTCCGACTCTTAATGGAGCTCCGACTCGGGGCTCCTGCCTCTCCGAGCTCCCCCGCATATTGCACAGTTTTGTGGCTTAAGTAAGGTCGTAAAATACAATTCAATAACGCGTTGGACTGCGCCGAAAAGGGGCAACTTCTTGTTGCATGCACACCTTTTGCCTGACAGCGCTGTAAAATCTGTGGCATGCAGCGGCCTTAAAACGGGATACGGGATACGGGCACTGGCACGGGCCGTGGAAGATGAAGCCGGAGACGATGGCTGAAACTGCAGCTCTCTGGCTGGGAGTCGGGAGTCGGTATTGAAGCTCGTAAAAAAGAGCGGAGCAAACTTATTGAGCTAGTTATGAGTTTCCTCGTACATGATACTAACGGCTTCGCCCACGGCAATAATGCGAGTGCTCCTGCCCGTCTGCCAGCCACAGACGCGGCGGAAGGAGCGGGAAGGAGGGGTGGGAAGGGGCCAGGGATAGTGCCAGCGGATATCTTCCTGTATATGTTATGGCTTTTTGGTGGCGTGTAAAACTTTTGCCGCGGCCGCAAGCTGTCCGAAAAAGCACTCCTTCCACAGCAGGAGGAGCCGTCTCCTTTCATTGTGGTGGGGGGCTGAAGGCAGTTTATGCGAGTAGGGGGGTCCCTCAGCAAGGACACTTGAATCATGATGTCAACCATAAAGAATTTGTCATTAGTTGTGTCCCCATCCAGCAGCAGCAGCTACAATCTCTCTCCACCTCTTGACATTCAAATACTGGCAAGACACTCGTTTAGTTTTAGCGGCAATGCAATGAAATTAGATCCGAGATCCGAGATCCGAGATCCGAGATACTTGTGTACCCAGCCAAGCTAATAATCATCCTGAAATGCTCTTCCGCAGGTGTATACGGCGATGTGCAACGTGTAAAGATTTTGTACAACAAAAAGGACTCGGCACTCATACAGATGGCGGAGCCCCAGCAAGCATACTTAGGTAAGTCCACACTCAAACACACACACACACACACACACACACCACCTCACAAAAAAGAACGAAATGAAAGTAATGAAAAATCTGAATCCGATTCTGAATCTGAATCTGAACCATCCTCGACCCAGAAGCTGTGGAAAAGGGTAGGGATGGTGGATGGTGGATGGTGCTGCTGGGAAAAGAGCAACTGCAATTTGCAGCTTGTTTAAAATGAAAATTCCAGCAACATGAAATTCCAAACGGGGGTGCATTCCTTTGGCAACCGTAACCGTTGGGGCTGATGATGATGCTGCTGCTGCTGCCATTTCCTGGAAATGCAGCAAACAAAATGTATTAATAATAAAAATTGTTAAAGCGAAAGAGCTGGCACAAGAGGATGCCCACAAAGAGCCGCAGCCAGAGTCAGAGCTGGAGTCGGAGCCGAAGCCGAAGCCGAAGCCGGAGCTGCCTCTGAAGCCACACGGCCATCGGCCATCGGCCATTGGAGGAGGACGAGAGCGATGGCTGGCCGGGCGCATAAATGAAATTTTATAAGCGCTTTATTACCAGCGTGCGCCTGTACGGTGGGCAACACCTGGTCCACATCCGCATCCAGGCCAGGAGCTGGACCCCATGGCGAGACCCCGAAGGCAACAAAGGATCTTCGCCTGTGTTCGGGCTGCTCGGCGAAACATGCCAATCATTTTATTGCATTTATTTGTGTGCACTTTGCCATTGTCAGGCGTCTGGCGGGTGGCTGCTGCTGGCTGGCCATTCTGTATTCGCATTAAGCGAAATGAAAGTCCTCCTCCTCTCGCATCGCGATGCGTTAAGAGCAACCAACCGACGTGCCAAATTCCACTTTATTACAAAAACAGAAGCAGCAGGAGCGGCAGGAGCGGCAGGAGCACCTAGGGGCAGTGGCAGTGGCAGTGGCAAGGCGATTGAAAGTGCCGGGCGATGACAGTGCGCTGACAGCGACACCTTTCTTTTTCAGTTTCGATTTGGTTTTATTCCATTTAACACGCCGCATCACCCTCTCGGTCTCTCTCCCCGCGACTCATTGTTCTTCTGTCTTTCGTTTGTTCGTTTGTTTTATTTATTCATTGGAAAAATAACTCAAAAGCCGTCAAAGTGCCCACTGGGGCCCCCACTTCGCTCTTTTGAATTGAAAATAACTGAGGCGGTTGGCCAGGACAACCAATCTTCGTTATCCCAGGCTGCTGTTGAGCACTTAAAGTGCTCTAATTAAGGCAATAATAAGGTGAAACAGGGCCAGTGTCGGCCGGCATTAGCTGCTTATGCTCGATGAAGGCTTATGAGCCAGGAGCAGGCTCAAACGGACAGACAGACGGACGGACAGAGAGCCATAAGCTGCTTTGGGCCCACAAAAGAATGCAATGTCAACTGCAGGACTCCCAATACGCCATACGCTCACTGGCATTAATCGCTCGCACACATGTAATTTATCAATGATATTTTCTGTCACGACTCGGATGTCGCTGCTGCCTGCCGCCTGCAACATGCAACCTGCTGCCTGCCGCCTCCTGCTGTTAATAAAGTTTAAATAAATTTAATCTTCTCAATAAATGCAATGCGCGATCGCAGCGACGGAAATTGCCAGCAAATTGCACGGCCAGAAAAACGTAAGCTACTGCATAATGAATGCCAACAACTGTTTATTGATTTAAATGGAAATAAAATAAGTGAATGGGCGGGCGGCTGTCAAGGGATCGAATCGGAGCATCCCAGCCAGCAACCGGATGCCACGGACACCGCCACAGGCAGCTACCCGGCGGCCCTTAGGGTACGGCATTCCTCGACCCACGAGAACCGCAAACTATTTTTGCCAGCTTGTCGCCAACTGCTCATCCCCCCATCCCCCCATCCACCATCCCCCATCCCCTTCTCCTCCTCCTCCTCCTCCTCTGCGTGCCGTGTATATTCAATGTTGCGTTAAAAATATGCTTTGTGCTGTACTCAATTAAATTTTTAATTATCATTATGCAAACATGCACATCCGACGCATATTCTGTGGCCCCCCCCCCCCCCCCCCACACCATGCCTCGCCCCTGCTCCGTCCCCATGCCTCCCTTGTGGCGCATTCCTTGGCTCACAGCTCAAACGCATTCCCCCCCCCTTTCAGGGTTTCTTTCTTAATTATTTGTGCATGAATTTTCAGAGGAATAGAGAGAGGGCTAATAAGCAGCAGGTCGCTTGAAAATGCATTGCAAAATGTGGGCTATTTCTGCCTTTGTGCTACTCGGCGTATGCGTAATGTTAATTAAATTTGTGTCAAAATTTGACGGAATGCAAAACCACATGCAACAGAATGCCACCGGCTGCCACTGATAAAACTACGAAGCAAGCAGAAAATTCCAGCAATGCCTGCGATGCCGGAAAAAATGTTTAGCGGCCAAAACCAGAGCCAGTCAACTGTTTGACCAAACAAGCAAATTATTGTACTAAACTAGGAGGAGGTCCCAGTCCACCCGTCCACCCGTCCACCCGTCCCCCAGGTCTGGAACACACACACACACGTGGAGAAATTGGAGCCCGAGGGCATGGGAAAATATTAATGGGTGTGCGGCAGCATATAGACTACTAATGTGGCCGCCAGGTCTGCCAAATGGCAAACACTTCCGCTCGGCTCTGCTGTGCCGTGCCGTGGCTCCTGGACACCAGGTAGCAGTCTGGAAGGGAACGGAGGATGGCGATGGGGGATGGAGAGTGCGCACTTATGCACTCATAAAATATTAACAAATTCATTCGTTACTTTGCCCAAAACTCTCGCCAACTCCAACAAACAAAGACGATTACCGACAGCCCAGGAAACGGGAGCTGGGGAGCAGGGAACTCGAGGCATGAGAATCAGGGAACAGCAGCTGTCCAGGGTCACCCGCCCACACCCACACCCACTCATGCATAGGAAAGTGTCTCGTAAGGTGCTGTGCGTTATGCCATGAGAAGTGTGTGCGGGGGGGGGGTTTGAGCCTGTCCTGGTTTCTGGGGTATGTGGCAGTCCAGTCCCCACAAAATACGGCTACAATTGCACACTCAGCATACGAATTACAGCGTAAAGGCGCAAAAAACTTTTTGTAAGTGAAGTCAACAGCAAAATGGGAGACGACAGGGGAGGAGAAATGGACAGGAGTGGAGGCCAGAACGATATGGAATGGACACGGAGACACAACTCGGCCGAAACAAAGTGCGACAGCAATCAGAAGGCAAAGACAGGGGCAAAAATAGACTAAAACACACAATGAAAAAACAATAAGCATGGGAAAGGACCAAGGACCAAGGACCAAGGACCTCATCTCCACACCGAAACCCAAGCCTCGACCAGTCTGAGGTGTGTGTGGGTGTGTACTGGGAATCGGACCTCAAATGAAAGTAGAGAAGGAAGCGGGCTGGTAAGGGAAGGGAGGGGAAGGGAGACCCCCTGAAATGGCTGCTGGGCGGGATTAAGTTTTTGCGCAACTTATTACAAACTATGTTCCATACGATAGACACAGTCGCCCACAAATTTATTGGCACACTCCCAGCAGCTGTCGTCTGGTGTCTGGTGTCTGCCTGCGTGATTCCATGATTCCATGCCTGTCTGTGCCTCCTGCCTACTGCCTGGATGGGCGCTTGCTCTTTCCATTCCGCTCTCGTATTGGGGAATTTTGCGTAAATAAATTTGCAGCTTCTGTTATTCCGTACAAATTACTACCAAATATTTTGCATAAGCGTACGCATAAAGGCATTTACAATAAAAGCAAACAAACACGCGCACACACACACGCACACCCATGCAGACATATGTTGGCAACATTCTATGGCCATATATATAATGGTCCATTACGCATACGCCATGTGGAATCTCGGGTGTCTGTCTGTCTGACTGGCTGGCTGGTTGGTTGCTGCCCTGGAAATACGAGTAGAGTTTTGTGAAAGTTTTGGCAGAACTCTGGGCCCTGGGCTCTGGGCCCTGGGCTCTGGGGCTGGAATCCTGTGTGGCGTGGCGCCCCCCTGCCTGTTTGACAATGCTAAGTGACTGTTTGAATGACTTGGCGCCCGGCACTCGTTCGGCTCGGTCGGTCGGTGCTCACAATTAATTACGGCGAGGGGAAACGACTCTGAGAGGATGTTTTGCATAGTTTACGAGCCAGAGATAATAAAGTGTCTGGCAAGTGCAGGGCTATAGATCATAGTCAAGACATTGCCGGACATTAATCGTTCAAATCATGAAAGTTACAATTGAGTTGTCTCCCAGACCAGGCACAAAGCAGCCGATAGCCGACAGCCGACAGCCCACAGCCGACAGGACACAGCCAGTTCCCCAACTCCCCGAACCGTAAAATCCTGCCTCACCTGAGCCGCCGCATTTGCCTCCGCCTCCTGCTTCCGGAGCAACTCCGTCGCCGACTCCTCGGGGTTGTCCCAAGTGTATGGATGCTTAAAAGTCTTAAACCAAGAACTTCATGCATAAACCAGAGCAGAGACCCTCTCCGAGCTCTCGCTCTCTCACTCCATTCACGAGTCATTTCACTTACTTTTTGGGGCCCATTGTGCTCGGAAGGGAGGGGGCACTGTGCTCAGCTGTGCGTGTGCACTCCTTTTGCTCCTTTGTTTTTGCAAGTTAATAATGGTTTGTTGTTGCTGTTGTTGTTGCTGCTGTTGCTGCTGGTCAGCCCCGTAATTAAAAGTTTAAGATACTTTTTGAGTTGGGCCCAGTTCCGGAACCCCCAGACCCAGACCCAGGCCCATCCAAAGCCAAAGCCAAAGCCAGCAGCAGCAGCAGCTGCAACACTTTGAGGCTCGTAGGCAAAGTTGCGGCGGCTCGTCTTTGCCCCCCCTCTTGGGGCAAGTGTCTCGCCTGCACATTAATCTTTATTACAAGTGTTTGTCATACAACGACAAGGACAACGGCAAAGGAAAAAGAGTGTTTAGGTCGCATATGAGGACCGGGGGGGCCCAGCCTTTGTCACTGCTGCTTCCGTCGCTCATTTTACAATTTATTATATTCCTGGGCCTTTTTTTTTGTAAAATCACTTAATCCATTAGGCGAACAATAAACGGCTGAGTAAGCATATTACTTTACAATAAAACAGAGGGCTGCCAACCCCATTACACCCACCCCCCCCCCTGCCCCACACCCCCCGTCTCGTGACAACTGCTCCTCGAATGATAAAATGCCATATAATTTATTAATATAATGCACTGAAAATGAAATTGAGAAAAAGAGATCGCCTTGGACACTTGCGTGGACAAAGCCCTTGCGTGATGCGGCACAAAACAGGGGAACAGAGCGGGTAGGGGCAGGGGTACGAGTGGGGGTGGGGGCAGGGGCAGGACAGAGTCTGAACAGAAATTAAATAAAAAAAAGTAATCGAAATTGAAATCGAAAACGGAATGGAAATGGAGATGGAAATTGAACTGTATTTAAGTACGGCTCTGGCCTCTGGCCTCTGGCCTCTGGCCTCTGGCTCTGGCATTGCACATGCAGTTGGTTCGGGGCCCCAGGTGTTATGAGAAAACAGTCCCCGGGTCCAACATCCGATGGGAGCTGGTGGCTGGTGGAAGATGGCGCACTGGCACTGCTCAAGCGAACTTTTTGTTTGGTAATACTTTTACGGCCAAACAAGCACATTACATTTCTGCTTGTATAAATCACCAAAGGCAGACGACAACGACATTGATAAAGTTGCAGTTACATTTCAGAACCCAGAACCCAGAACCGAGTACCCAGAACCAACTACGAATATGTAAATATTTGCCAGCACTTATTGCTGACTTTGTTCAGCTTCGACGAGTCTTCGGCGTCTGTATCCACCGGTGGGTGGTTGGGGGGAGGCGCCAGAAAACAATTTTATGGCTTGTGGCACAGCATATAAATTGCATTTGCAGGCACGGATACAGACACAGACACACAGTTGCAGATACAGATACACACTCCAATAATTTGACGAGCATATGGCCAGCAAAAAGAAAAATATAATACAACTTGAGCCCTAAACTTGTGTGCACTCATTTTAACGTGTTTTCTTTGTGTGCTCCTTTTGTTACAGCCATGTCTCACCTTGATAAATTACGTTTATGGGGCAGGCCGATACGTGTCATGGCCAGCAAACACCAGGCCGTGCAGCTGCCGAAGGAGGGACAGCCGGACGCTGGCTTGACACGTGACTACTCGCAGAATCCGCTGCACCGCTTCAAGAAGCCCGGCAGCAAGAACTACCAGAACATCTATCCGCCATCGGCGACACTGCATTTAAGTAACATTCCGTAAGTATCGCTCCGAATCGTTTAAAGATGCCCCACAGCTGGAGGTGCTGCCCGTTCGTTCCTTTTCGTTTCCGTCCTGCGGCATCGTCAATGAGGCGTTGGCAGGCGCTCTATGGCGCGGCACGACACTGCCTGATAGGATAACAGACACGGTGTGAGCCCGAACCCAAACCCGGACCCGGCCCGGGCACGACAAGGCAATTACAATTACCGCTATGAGCAACAGCCCGGGCTCTGGCTCGGGCTGGCGCCCCGCAACGCCTTGTCTGCCAAATATGACAAAGCGCCCTGCCAGGCCAGGCCATTGTGTGTGCCTCTGGTTGGGATGGGGATGGGTCCGCTCTCTCTTCTGCCAGAATTTATGAGGCAGCTTCAGCGGGGGGAACACCGCCTGCCGAGACGATATCAATGAACGGGCCGCACAGCAGGCAGGCCCATGCATGGGTGCTGCAAAAGGCTCATACATAAATCGATACCAGTTAATTTTAAACCGAATCTAACCTATCACTCCCGCTCCCCACAGCTCATCCTGCTCCGAGGATGACATCAAAGAAGCCTTCACCTCAAACACTTTCGAAGTCAAAGCATTCAAGTTTTTCCCGTAAGTAATTGTGATTGTAATTGGCATCGACTCCTGGCGACACGAGACTAACCCCCCCTACCCTCTGCGCTTACAGCAAGGACCGCAAAATGGCGCTGCTGCAGCTGTCGTCCGTGGAGGAGGCCGTCCTGGCACTAATCAAAATGCACAACCACCAGCTGTCCGAGTCCAACCATTTGCGCGTGAGCTTCTCCAAGTCGAACATCTAGAATCCGATTCGAGGTCAGGTTTACTGAACCTGACTGGGTGCCGGCAGCAGCTATGTGCACCACCAACACCACCAACACCACCACCACCACCACCACCAGCTACAAGTCTATTGGCAGCAACAGATACAATCTATTATTCGTAGTACAAGAAGGATGCACGCCCACTTCAACTGAGGATTAAGCACCGTACCCAATCCAATCCAATCCAATCCAAACCCAGCCCAGCCCAGCCCCGTGCACCCCGAACCCAGAACCCGGAACCCATTCGAATAGAATCAATCGAGCCCCATCCAACCCAACAAAACCCAACAAACCGATCAACCAGCGGCAACAATCGATGTATGAGCTATACCAACAGGAAACAGATGAGCATATACAATACTCTTAACTAGGATCTGTCCACTGTGTGTTCCGCAATCGTTACAATCGAATGGAATGGAATGGAATGGAATCGAATGAAGCAGGACGAAACCAAGAGTAATCTTAACTAAATTTCTAACGAAATCAAAATCAAAACACGAAGCATGAGAGCAAGAAAACAAGAAAACAAAATGCTAAACGTTAAATAAATAAAGTATAAACTGAAATTATATATGAGGATATAGCATTTCAACTTACGGCGCACGCAAACAAAGCAAACAACAAACAAACAACCCACTAAACAATCAGCAACATCGTATCTTAAGCTTAACTTTAAACTATAGTCCTTAAGTAAATTGCATTGCATAACAAAACGGATAAAACAAAACAAAACAAAGCAAACAAAAAAAAAAAGGAATAAAAAAGTGTATAACGAGAATAGAGGAAAAGTAAATTTAAATGAACGAGAGATGAGGATGATCGTAAATTAGAGATATTTTTAGTGCACTGTACTGTGTTTTGGTTTTAAAAAACGGCAGAAAGTCAGAACAAAAGAAGGAACGAAAGAAGGAAAGAACAAAACAAAACAAAACAAAACGAAACGAAACGAAAGTGAGAGGAGAAGAGAAATTATGTTAAAAATGAATTAAGGCAAAACTTTTTATTATGTATATGATGCTGTTATTATATTTTAAATGAATGCAACTTAACTTTAGTTTTTTATAAATATGCAAAAATCAATTGCAAGAATCGCATAGACGTAGCTCTTAAATGTTTTTCATTTTGTTAGACTTAGAGAAAGAGAGAGAGAGAGAGAGCGGAGAGAGCGGAGAGAGAGACGGTCCCGAATTGCACACCGAGTCCTAGGCATTGAAGCATTGAAGCGAACAGAAAAATCAAGAACAGAGTAGAGTTTATGGAAAACTGAGAGAAAAGAAATGTATTAAATTTGAATAAGTTGAAATAAATCGGCCACTTGGACAATCCGAAGATGTACATCCAAGTATATCCAAGAAGGCGCACTTAGCTTGTCTGTTTGTTTAGCATTACCGAATACCGATTACTGATTACTGATTACTGATTACGTGAGAATAATAATTTTAAACGGCAGTTAAATCAACGCAACGCGTACGTAAACCCTATGTGTGTATGTATATGTAAATGTTGTTAAGCTAGCGCAAATTATACACAAATCGATCAAATATATATACAATATACATCCGTATAAGTATGTATTGAACTACAACAAACCATGAAACAGGAAATTAAACAAATTTTAAGCTACGAAAAAACGAAAAAAAAGTATAATCTCAAAAAGAAAACAAAACAAATGAAATGAAATGATAGGAATGGAATGGTAATTATATTTAATCATAGGCATACTGGTAACAGAAAGACATATACGTGTTTTAGCAAACAAAACTGAATGATTTTTTGATAATTTTACAAGGACCCCACAACATGGACAACACACACATGCACACACACACAAACAGCACACATACAAGACACACAGAATCAGACAGATACACTCATATATGAAAGTTTATATATATTTAGAAAGTGAAATTATTTATACGTTGGCGCAAAAGAACAAACAAAACAAAACAAAAACAAAAAAAGAAAACCAATAAAAAGATGAAAAAAAAAACACACACACACAAAATGGTTAAAAAATCAACTAATTGTAACTTAATTGATATGGATTTAATTAGTAAGAATGAGTAGCAGTGATCGTAATTTAAAATTAACAAAGAAAAATACAAATAAAAATAAACCGAGACAGAAACAGAAACAGAAACTGAAACACAGGAGAAGCATACAAATCACAATACAAATTAAAGAAAAAAAAAATGGTAAAAATTAAATGAATAAATAAATATACATATTATATGTATATATATGAAACGTGTACGAAAAGCAACAGTAAAATATTGTAAAATGTAAATCGTATTGAAATATTATATTTACAGTTTACAGTCAGACAGAAAAGTCGCAAGCAGTGCAGAATGTGGTTGAAAGTGGCACAGAAAGAAAGAATGAAGAAGAAAACACAGGGGGAGTGTGGGGGGAGCTCACGAGAAAATAGTTGAACAAGCCTCTACCTACATTTTCCACGCAACACGCAACAGAATGCTTATAGTGCAGCAGGAACGTTTTGAGCCACCAACACTAGCGTTTCATATACAACATAATGCAACTTACTATCTAACACTTAACTTTAACCTTATACCTATTTATCATACTACATACATATGCTCTATGTCTATGTCTACTACTTATATACCGTATACACACTATATACATACATGTTTTGTTAGCGATGCATCGATGCAAGGTAAAGCGATATGATATGAGATATATATATACATACATACGTTGATATCAAAACCCACGACTGCTAGAATTTCAACTGAGAACTCTTGACAAATCAAAAATTTCATACAAGTATTTAGCGAACTTAATCTACAACTTCATACCCCCAGAAGCAACAACACACAGCCACACACTATGAAAACCTAATGCACACACACAGAACACAGAACACACCAACACACCAACACACCAACACACAGGCAATCCAAAATGGATATAGAGAACAGGGGAGCATGAACAGCATCCTGGGGCTGTCCTTTGGTATGCATTCAAAGCGTTCAAAGCGTAATTAAATATTTAGCCCAACGATAATATAGAATCAATTTGCGCTTCAGCGTGTAAATGTTGATAGTGAAGACGACACCGAGAAAGCAGCATGCGAATTAATAGAACTAATACAGAATCTACAGAATACAGTTTATAAATGGGAATACGAATATACGAACAGTAATGCAGATACCGCAACATTAAAATTAAAGAATACAAGTGAGCGAATGCAGAGTGCAGCTAATTGACAAAACAGTACACTAAAAGTATTACTTTACCAAGTAGAGAAAATCACAACTAAGAATTAATTTACAATTTAATTGAGGAGCCGAAAACTGAGAGCCTGCTAGGGAAAGGAGACGAAAGGAGCAAGGAAATAATCAACGTACATCCCAAACAATTGTTGCATTTGTCAAAGTCAAAGTGATCTCGTTCGACTGACATTGCTGGCGACGATCAAGGGATCCGCGGAGGGGTCCCGGAATTGCATTAGCCTAAAAGATCTAAACTAAAACCTAAAACATAAAACATAAAACATAAAACAGAAACAGAAAACAGAAGCCAACAGTTTTAAGTTGTACAGTACGAGCTGCAAGACGAGATTTTACCAAAATGCAAAGTGAAGCATACAAAATTGAAGACTAATCGTGGATTACATATATATAGATATATATATATATATATATATATGTGTGTGTGTACCAGTATATGAACAGGTTCATATGTTGTGAGACGGTGCATCGGTGGACGTGTGCGACATACTGCATGCATACTTACGTGCTACTTTTACAGTTAGAGAAACCAGATATAACATTATACGTGTATGTACTATATGTAATTGTAGCTATAACTATATATAAATGTATCGAGGAGGAGCAGCAAGTTATTAGAAACATAGCGATCAGTCAAATCGGAATGCAGTCAGAGGACGGAAACTATACACGAACCAAAAGTAAATCAAGTAGGAAAGTAGGAGATGGAAAAACAGGAACCGTTTTTGTTTTACCGAAACCACACACACGCAACATATACAACATGAACAGAAACATATCAGCATTGTTTGACATATGAGTAGTTAATTTTAATCAATCACCTTTTCTTACAGTCCAACCCTCAGACAACACCCGAAACCAGCACCCATATTTCAGTTCAGCTTAATTCAGTTCAGTATGTTCCACGTACACACCTGACACCAGACACCACACCGACACCAGACATCTGTACAGGAGGTACGAAGCTCCTGGGATTACGTATTTGAATACATTTACAAATCGTTAGTTTGGCAAAAGTCAGAAAAAGTAATAATTAAGGATCGATGGAGATGGAGATGGAGATGGAGCTGACCGAAGTGAAGTCGTAGATGAAGGCGTAGGGAATATGTTTGAAGTTTTGGCAGAAGACAAAACCAAGTGGGAATGCATATACTAATTTGTACAGTTATCAATTTATGTTGAATGTTTTTCGGAACGGAGATTCGTGGGGTTTTGTGCTCGGTATCCGGTATCCAGTATCCAGTATCCATTATCCAATATCCAATATCCATTATCTTTAGTAGCGGAAATTTTGTGTGTGATTTTTAGTGGAGACGAGAGGCGCCAATCAAAAATGTTGTTACGTTTATGGTTTTGTTCATTTGTTTTGTACAATTAGACAAACGTATACAACTAATATACAATATATACCTAAACATATGTTTATAGTTAGCGAAATCTGGATGTGTTTTTTGTGCTACACTACTTTTATACAGAACTGTTTTCTTTGCATTTGAATTGCGTTTCCGAGACAAACACACTCGAACAGACTCACATACCAAACATAGTACAGCAAACAGTCGACAACAGGCAGAAGTTCCTACTTTTAGTAAAACTGATAAATGATTAAAGCATAACTAACCGAGAAAACCGAGAAAAACCGATTAAAATTGCAGCAGTGAATTTAATACGAGTATGTACACATAACGACAAGTTTTGATTCGATTGCCTCACCAATCAATTGCCGCTTTCCTTTAAGACTCGCTTTTTGATTGAAGTTGGATTTCCTTGGTCTGTCTATCACTTGTGAATATCTGAATATCTGGTGCGGCTTTAACATTAGTCAGGCATTATTGCAAAATTTAAATAGGGTCCAAGTTTTAAATATTAAAAATACAGCTCAGAAGGAGGGATGGAACGAAGAGATACGATGAATGACTCGAATGAAGTGAGTGAAGTGGCGAATGGCCAGCCGTCTAATTGGTTATATTCTATTCTGGTCTATTCTATTCTATTTGGTACCCAGTCTTCAGGAAGTTTTTTATGGAGGAGAATAATGTCAGTCCAGTCACTCTCTCACCACAGCCACAGCCACACCCACACAGCCATCGGCTAACTATCTGTATATCGATCGTTGTAACTGAGAAAGAAAGCTTAGCAAATCTGCCCTAGATCTCGACTCTTAACCGCTTAACTAGCCCAACTGCGAGTAGACACACGCGAAACAATCAAAGTTGAAAACATCTATTGAATCAAATTTTTAATTATACACCAAGCAAACCACTTTGAAACTTTTGTGCTCTCTAATTGTACAACTTAAAGGTAATACAACAAGAATAATCATTTTACGCTCTTAACGAAAAAGTAAACAAAACGAAACGAATCGAAACAAAACAAAACAAAACGGCGATGTTTATGTAATGCAAGATTTTTCTCACCAAATTTTACTACAAATCTCTTATGTGTATTGTATATAAAAGAAAAAAAAAACAAAAACTAATGTGTATTGATATATTTAAATGTATTGCGATTGCAAGGAAGAAACTGCAACAACTGCAACAAACATAACCAGCGCATGAAACGTCAAACAAAATGAATTAACATCCAACAAACAGCAGCTACGCGACTCTTAATTAATTTTTAAACAAACTTAAGATACATTTTCATAATGCGATTGAATTTGACGGCACAAAGCGAAATGTACGAGCGAATTGAGCATTTTGCCGAGCTGAAGATACTTAGAACTAATGAGTAAACTGGCGACAGGAGGCAGGAGGCAGGACGTAACTAAGGAAGTGTGAGATCTGCAGATCTGCAGGCTGCGGCGCTGGTATTGAGACATTCAACTGGGCGCAGCGTTGAGATTGCAATGATATGAAATGAATATTTGTTATGTTACAAGCATTAATTAATTAATTATTATAATATTAATTATTATTGAAAATATTTGAGAAATAAATATAAAATAAAAATGATTCAAATCATTAAAAAACAATCTTTCTCTTCAACTTGGGCGCTGACAACAAGCATCTTCTTGAGCTGCCGGATACATTACATATTCTAGAATCTATAATTATTGTTATGTTTTACGAATTATATGTATGAGTATGTATGTAGTAGGTATATTTCTTGTGACATAAATAATACGAGAAAGTGAAAATCGAACTCAATCTTTTTACTATTAATTTATAATTAATTTTTGTATTCAGAATTGTATTTTTCTAAGGAGCTTCTTTTTTATTGCAAAATACAAAAATATAATTTAAAAAAAACAAGTCCGAATAAATCTTGATATCTTCATTCAATTAAAATCTTAATTTTATCAGCTCTTCAATGTGGTAAGCAAGAAGGGGTGAGTATCTCGGAGCGCTATACCTAGGACCTGCTTTTCCGGGCTCAGGATGATTGAGACTGTCGATCGGCATTAAATTTTCAGCTAAAAATATTAGGTAGATTTTTGGCAAGCTTTACGATTTAATGAATCATCACGTAGTCTGCCGACTACGCTAAGACAGATCGGCTCCAAAATAAGCGTACTTTATCATTTTAAGGTTCTATTCAATGGATTTTTTCAATGAAAATTTACTTACAGATTATATACCATCAAATGACCGTATTTCAAAAATATTCCCATTGCTATCGTTTTTATCTTAGGGCTTACAAAGATGCTTCTTTCGGGCAACTTATTGGTACTTATGCAATGTATTACTGTAAGGTATTTAGGCAAACGGCTTTTCAAAAACGATTTTGCAGAAATGTTCGGTTTCTTTGCGGTTTGAAAGTGATCAAAATTAATACCTTCAATATTCGCCGTTGCAACATTTAACTTTTTACATAATGTAACTTAGTAAACAAATAATTAAATGCATTATATTGCCTATCGAACTAGTTAAGGAACTTTATTTTGGATGGAACTGGCTTCCGAAACATTCCTGCTGTAGGTAGGAAACTGGCCGCAGTTTGGCTTCTAGACAATTTGTGCGGTATTGTCCTGATGAAGAAGTGTGTGATGTCGCCCTAGGCAGGTAAAGCAGTCGTATGGACTTGGGCAATCCCGAATTTCATGTCCTCATGCGAAGCAGTTCAAACAGAGCATTTTCTGCTTGATATAGCAAATCCTCTCATTTACGGTGATCTGTAGGAAACGACGACACTTTCGCACAGGATGATACTTCTTACAGCAAAGATCACACGTCCGTGACCTTTTGGATGCCTTGGCGTTGGCCTGCTTAGAGCTGCTGGGATTATAAAGCTCTATCATCTCGAGAGTGAGAGATCGGCGAAACAGGAATTCACTCATCGCCTCCCAGGACGGAATCTCAGTAGGGTCGGCTAAGGACTCTTCCCAGAGCATCAAGATCTCTCTGGGCAATTTTGTGGGGGTCAGGAAAACCATCCAGCAACCCAGCAATTCGGCTGCGGATACTTCGCATTGCTCCAGGGCGGTGACGCATCCATTGACAGTATTCAGGAGCTCTCTTAAATCAGTTGCAGATTCAGAATGTATGCTGGGTAAACTCCAAATGGTCCTGATCTGGCTGAAGACTGCCGATCTCCTGTTAAAACGCTCTTTGGGAACGTCTTGTGACGCCACTGTGATCTGGACGGACATTAAAGTAGTGGACTGGGTTGTTTAGCTGCAAGAAGCTTGTCCCGCGTTGCACTGCGGAATGACTTTTCGTTTTGGCAGCCTGTGACGTTCTACGAGAAGTAAGAGGATGGTTTAATTATTAAACGGATTATTTATAGCATTTCTCAACTTTACTGCGGTGTAAAACAAAAACGCGAGTATCCCGCCTAAAAGCCGGAGTACCTCGAGCACGGGTAATCGATCTTGTGTGCAATCGAAATGTAAAAGTAAAAGTAAACAAGCGAATAAATTATTAAATAAATTTTAAATTATTTGGAATATTGTGTCTGGTATAAGTGAACGATATTGTGTGTTTCCCGGAAAAGGCTGATCTCCAGATTTGTGTATATTGATAGTATAGAATGAAAATGTTATTGTAGGCCGGCCAATTGTGTATAGAAATTTAGACATATGAATAAATATGTACATATTGCTAATGACCGTATTCTTTTATATTGTTTTTTCCTTTACATTGTACATTGGAATGGAAATGGAAGCTTATCATATGCACATATCATACTTACATATCATACATACATACATAGATATGTATTTATGTACAAGGTAGAAAGTGCTTGGAAGAACGATAGGAATGTAGGAGGAAAAGGAATAGGGTAATAACTAATTTCTTCGACAGCTCAACTAACATTTATAAATATATGGATATGCAAATTGTCGCAGTACTAATTCTGGAAGTTTATACGGACGACGGGCGCCGAGTTGGGGAAAGGATGAACATACGTAGATAAACAATTTGTACTCTCCTGAATTATGGATCGCAAGAATTTTCCCGCTATACGAGCTCCAGGAACTATAATATATCCGGCTCGAAAGGCCAAGTGATGTGGTGGGCAGGTTTCCTGGTGATCCAATGAGTACGTACTTTCGATCTATTGTCGCGTGGTGAGACCTCTTTCCCCTTCAGTAGATGTGTGTGTTGATAATCGAATTGCTTTATTCTAGTGCCTATGCATTGTATGTTGGGGATGTGTTTTCATACACCTATTTGGCGCAGTCGATATTTAATGCACTAGAAGTTATGTTTTATAAGAATGCCCACAATGGAACGTGAACCCCGTGTGCTGACGGGACCAATAAAACAAAAATAATTGAAAAACAATCCAAATTGTTTTTAATTGTATCGAAAGTCACAAAGTGTACATTGAAAGAAATAAGAAAAGGAAAATTAATGTGTGGAACACCACATGATCCGATGCGACGAAATCATCCCCCGGAAGATACCAGCACCTATGTATCCTACATACGCACTGTACTCTTGTCCAGCCATCAGGAGCCTACGTCTCTCGTGAACGTATTTGCGCGCAGGGACTTCCGACCACGACACACATACTTGTAGTCACATGCGAATAATTTAGTAAATATAACAGCACAAGCCCGCGCTTCAGCAGGAGCGGAGCTGCTGCGTGAGCCTGTCCAATAGTCAGCAGGGACCAGCGATTCGCATTGCGAATCTACGTTCAGGTTGATTCGCGACAATCTTTGGCCCATTGCAAAAACTCATCCAACGCGCTAACGGCTAGATTGCGAGTCAGGGCCTTTACGCGCAAGTTGCGATCGGTGGTGATAAGTACCAGCTCCGTTTGAATGAAGCACTTGCCATCTGTAGCAAGATATGTTAGGATAGGTTAGGACTGTCCTGAAGATGGTTCTAGTGCAACCTTACCTTGACATTGTTCCGACTTGGTAGTCTTCGAAACAGCTATGGCCGTTGCCAGAATTTTGTCGTCGTTGGACAAATACTCTTCCTCAACCAATCCGAACACCGAGGCATTTACAAAAGATCCCTTTGTAGTTGCACACCTGAAATGGAGTCAATCACGGTAGAGAAACTCTTGAAAAGAATATAAATCAAATGTATGTCTTACTTCAAGTTGCTCTTGGCCGACTTGATGAACTCCAGGGACTTTTTGGCGCGCGTCGACACCTCGTCAAAGTGATGGATACGCTTCTGCGTCTGCCGCGAGTTGCGATACGAGTCCAACTTGACGCCTTTGGAAAGCCCGTCCAGCTCTTTGACGACTGTGAGAGGTATTATGAGCGTATAGCGCTTGTATTCCATGGACAATTTCTCAATGTCCTCCAGACAATCAATGAAGCAGTTGGTGTCCGGCAACAGGTATCGCGGACGCACCTCTATGTATATTTTTGTGTCAACCAATTTAAGAATTTCCTCCAACTTGCTGTTGCAGAACTTCTTGACCCTGGCCTTCTCCTCGAGCTCCTTCTTTAGCTTGCACAATTGCGAGACATCAAAGTCAGCCGAAGGGCAGACCGCACTTTTTTTATCCGACTTGGTCTGCTCCTCGCCTTTGCCCGTGGAAGCCGTATCCGAGGAAAGGCCACAACTTTCTGCATCAAAACAATTCAGAGCAACCTTCATATCGTCATTGAGATCCTCAATGGTGAAGCTGGAGTTTTGTGGCTGCTGCAAGGCATCCTGATGCAGCAAGAAGCAATCCTGAAACTGTGCTATCTTTCGCATGCGCACAAGGAACTGTATGCGCTCAGACCCACGCTGTCCGTTGACTCTGCTCGTCTCCTTACCCAACGGACTGAAACCGCTCAGGGCGATGTCTTCATTCAAAATGATTTTGGACAATTTTTCAACGTCCTTCTGGTCGAGCTTATACTTGCCGAGCAGCCATTCTATGTTTATGAAAAGGGTTGACAATTCAGCCCAGCAATCGATGAAGGAGTGCCTGTGGGAAATTAAAGGACTGATAAGTAGTGTTCTTGATGAAATGGAATGCAGTAGCACGTACTCCTCCGAGCGCACCGGCTCCCACAGATCCACATTGATGCTCAGCCAATGGACGTGGACGTTCACAAACTGCAGATAAGTGTTTACGGTGGTGTAACTAGAACGTGATAAAAACAAAGTCAAAAACCGAATTCCAAGGCTGATTTTGCATTTCATACTTGTCATCAGAAAGAGACTGAACGCTCGAAGATTCCTCTACAAAGTTAGCCAGCGTTTCGTTTGTTATTTTCAGAATGAGGCCAAACAATGAATTGGCAAAATTGAAGCTGTGATAACGCATCTCCCGACGTGCCACTATAAAATATATATGAGTGTACAGCGCATTAGTTTCAATTGTTATTGAGCTTATCTGCTATAATATGCTCGCACCTTTGCGCTTGTTGTGCTCCATGACGAACAGGTTAAGTGCCGCCATTTTCAGCAGTTTGGAACGTGACAAGAGGTTGATCTGCTTTAGAGCGACACTCAACTGAATTTGAAGCTTTCGAAGCAGCTGGTACAATGAGTCCACACTAAGAACGAGTCACATGAGGGTATATCTATAGTCAATGTACAAATATAGCCATGAGATATAACTCACTCAGTTCCATTGTAGAGCTTGCCGATCAAGTACAAGTAAAGGGACATAACGCGTGGCAACAGATCCACTGGTGACATTTCGTCGTAGCGGTTAACCTCGTCCATGGTGACCTTGTTTTTACCCTTTTTCTTTAGATCCGAACGATGCAAGCAGCGGATGCCATCCGGGTAGATCCAAACTTCCTTTCGCATGTGCTTGGACTTCTCGTTCTTAGTGATTGGCCCACAAGCGAAGGGAGATTTTTTCATTTCAGTCTCCTCGTACTTCCGGCGAATCTCGTCAAACAGATCCAGCAAGCTTTCTTTGGCTGTTTGAATTGCGTTTGAAGTCAACAAGCTGCGCACATAGTAGTATACAGCATCGAAGCGCTTATGCTGCATAAATTATATGCAATATTTAATAGTTACTCGAATAGATCACTGAATAGTGCGCAGTTAACTTACATGAAAAATAGCAACGATAGCCAGCTGGTTGTAGGGCGCACCGTTTCCGGGCACTAGCTCCTGAGCACGATGGTAATAGCGTGCAGCCTCCAGGTAGTCCGTGCCCTGTACATAATTAACCCGATAGCGGGACAGGTCACCCAGACAGATTAGAAGGCGTTGTGCAACCACCTTGACGGCGCTCTCGAAGCGTGATATATACTTTGCCATTAGTTGGTCAAAGACAGTATGGTAAAACTGGAACGCTTGTTCAATCAGCAGCAAGGAGTGGGAACGGGCCTGGTCGGTCTGCTGCCGCCTTAGATACTCGCGAACGTTGTAGAATAGCAGTTTCCAGAAGAAGGCATCAACTTTGTGCTCGCAGACAAAGCGCAGCTCCTCCAGCATCAGTGTTTTAAAGGCGTCCTGTAGCTTGTTTTGGATATAGCAAAAGTTCTTCCAGTTCTGCAAAGAGCAATGCACAATTTTTGGTGAAGCTGTACGGTCAGCCAGCAGAATTAGTCACAACTTACAACTAGTATTAGGTTCCTGTTCTGCAACACCAATAGTTGATCGTACAACTGTACAATTTCCTTTGCATTGGCCATAGACAGCATAGGCTCGAACCACTTGGGATGCTCGGTGGTCAGACGAGTCCGCTCCTGCGGCGAATGGGGAGTGTGCGCCTTATTACTCTTAGTCTGAGTGCGCCCACGTCGCCGTCCATAATGACAGGACTTAGCAGTAGCATCGTCAGACACTGTTGCCGTGACACGCAATAATCCTGGTATGCATACATCCCTCAGTTGCTTGTTGCTTGACCCGTTGGTATCCAAAACGGGAATTTTTTCATTACATTTTTCCTTTGCTGATGAATTGTTCAAAATCGTGACTGTGAATATGTCAAAGTGAAAAAACATGATGTGATGGTAAAAAACAACCGTGACGTATTTAAACTTACTTGGCCTTGGGCAACTCTTCTTTGTTGTTTTTGTCATCGCCATCGGGGGCTCCGAATTTTCAGCATCTTCTTCCAACGCTGTTGCTGTTGCGTGGCTACAGCTAGCAGCAATTTTGTTTTGCAGCCGCTTCGGTAGCGTCCCAATGATCAACGATACCTCATTTTGTTCTTTCGTTCCCTTTCGACTCATATTTCAAGCGATTCTTTTGCTGGTGCATTGATTTCACTTTAATTGAAATCCGCCTTTGTTGCAGAAAGTGGAAAATTTTGCTTGTATTTGATCACTTTTGGAATGAATTGAGTGTTCGCCAGACGATGTATCTGCAATGACCAGACGCTACAATAATACCAGCAGAGCTCAAGGCAAGGCTGGTTTTGTTGCAATAAAATTAATGTTACTATTGCTAATTTAATATTGTTTTATTTTGTGTGTGGTAAAAATTTACGATTTATCGATATATACCATAAGAAATATACCGAAAATACGTCACAGTTTCCAGATATAATGTAAATATACTGACGAATTATTTGTATTCATAATTTCATCATATTGCTTGATTTTGATATTCGGTTGAATATTACTAGTTAGCAAGCACCCTCCGCCCTGAGCACATAATTTTCGCCAACTGACGAATCTCTTTCCTACAAGACTTGCTAACTTAAGTTCTCATCTTAACTGAATTGCTTATAAAACACAAAATACATTTGTTCTACAAGATAACTACACAATGGCTACGTACTAACTACATTTTCATGTAGTTAAGAAAATGTGTACGTTTGGTCCATGGAAGCCAGTGTGAAAAAACTCCGTTATCGACTTTTAATATGCTTTTTCCGCATATAAAAAAGTGAGATTTTGATGGCAAACGATCAGGAATTCGGTTCTAATCATTAATTAGTATTCGATGCGGCCTGCGACATGGCGTTAAATGGCATTTTTACACGATTGCTACATTGGTGCAATGTACAAGAGGGTGAGTCCATGACGGCAAATTCTAGAAATTACTATGAAAAGTATACAAATATGCAAGGTGTGTGAGCTAGACATGGTGTCTAAGCTGGTAAGCAAATCAGTGTGACATGGGCAGAAATATAGCATCTAAGTTTCAAAATATACCGTAAATATATTTAGCCCACCTTATCTAAACAAGTGATCAACTCGAGCCAAAGCGCGGCAAAGAATACTGTTTTTGAATTCTTCTTTTAGACCCACCTTGTCCTGCCTCTTTACTTGCAAAAAAAAAAACACGATATCTTCCGCCTGAGCTGCGCTAAAATTATTCTAGATTTATCATGTTGGGAAATCATTTTCCTGCATTTTTTTGATGTTTGGCTTAATATTACCAGCCAGTTTAGGCCCTCAGCCATCAACGCATAGTTTTATTCGGGTTGTACTTTTAAGTACTCCTCTTTATTGGATTTTATCTAAAAAAAAAAGGATTAAACAAATAAGGTCAAATCATAAAACGTAAGAGGGCGTGAAATAAACCGTAAGTGAAATGGTACGTTCTTTTAATACTTTTTGCTTGTTTACCGATTTTTTTCTTGAATTAATATTAAAATTCTGTTTTCATAGCTGATTTGAAACATTACTAACAACTTTTTCTCAGATTGATGTATTTTGACCTATTCACACATTTATTTATCTACTCTAAGTCTCTGTAAGCTGCAACATTTCGTTGTGATAGCTTTAAAACAGAGACTAACTAATTTCTAATTAGTGCTGCCATTCCGCAGCACATGTTGCTGAAGTGAAGTATAGATTATCGTCTAGCGAAAGAGATGTGAACTTCGTATGGAATTTATAATTTATTAAGTAAAATCGTTGCGTTTTCAAATTTTGTAGCACTTGTAGCAGTGTGAAAATGTCTTCATACAAAATTTTGTTGCCCTAGTTTTTTGTACAATATCTAAGATCCAGGCGCTCATCAACACGAACAGAATTCTAATACACTATATCCCCATATTCTTTGAATTACAAAGTATACAAATATTTGATCAATTGGTTCGAATTTCCCAGACAGGTTGGCTCCTCCTTAGATTCCAATATCTACCACTCGTCGGACCTTGGAAAATGTTAATTAAATGCCCGGAGTAGTCTCCTCAGAAAACATATAAGGTTTCATTAAATTTTTGAAAATCTAATTGCAAATTCTCCTAAAATTAAAACGTTAAAACGACGACTATTTTTTCCTTTTATAATTGATTATTCTAATAACCATACTGTAAGTGAATCTGTAAGGGCAAGAATAAAAAACTTTTTAAATTCCATTGTGTTCAAACTAAAATAAACTTTCTACCGAGAATCGACCAAGGCGAATCCGGCCGGCCGAAGCCGGCTGATCCTAGAGGTCTACTCTATAATATAAACGGCATTGAGACATGCCAGGATTAAAGTGCGATTGGCATATAGGCCTCTTATCTTTTGTTTATACAAATTATTAGTTGATATCAATTCGGTTTCTGTTCCGAATATGTCACTGTATTTGGTGCCTAGTTCTGTGAGAATAGTTTTGAACTGTGGGGGAACATTTGTATTTAGTTTGTTTAAAATTTCGGTGTGTTTAGGATTGTTGCTGTTATTTACTATCATCTAATGACTCGAATTTTATGGCATCTAGTTTTATAATTGCATTTTTATTTGTTGTATTTAGGATTCGGACGAAGGTGTTTCGAGAATCTGAAATACAGTTTCCCATGTATACTCCATTTTGGATCTCTTGGTTTGGTATGACTATGTATTTGGTTGCTGTATTGCCGTTATGAATCTTTGTAAATGGAGTTTTTATCCATCAAATTCTGGCACTGCATGCGAAATTTCTTTTATATACGCCCTTTGGGCGGCTGATTCATCGGCCATGGTGCTGTTTTTGTTCAATTTTAGCAGATTCTGATTCTAAATTTGGTTCAGATTCTACTTCTGATAAGGTTTGGTCTTTTTATATACTTAGTTTGTGGCAAGAGTGATTGGTCAAAAACATCTAGTTTGGTGTAATCGTTTGGCAATATAAGTTATAAATTATGTATTTTATTAACGTTAAAAAGGTTACTTTTTGGACGTGCTGTTACATGATTGTTTAGATGAAGAGTTACTATGTCGTTGTACTTTTTAATGAGGATTTTAGTATGTTTTACTATTGTACGCGTTGTGATAAGCACACTTTTATTCAAGCATTTGTATGATTTGTCAAATTGGGTTCTATTGTTTGAAATTTTGTTTACTATCTCTTTCCATTCCATAGATATTCGGATCTACTTTAATATTATTTATTAGCATTTATTTTCTTTCAACAAAAATTTTCATTTCTATATTTTGGGTGTATCTTTTCTTAAGATGCTTGTTATGCATTGCATAAAGCTTAAGAACAAGCATTACCAAAATTAAAATTCGAAATTAACATAACGCGGTAATTTCAGAGGCAATTTCCGTCGTTACAATAACCACAAACTATAGAGGAAACAACCGTCAGAACGGTGCATCCTATAACGGTAATATTAGATTTGGATTTGGATGTATGGCTACAATTCTTCGTATACTGTCTTAAAAAAGAGAAAGATCCTTGTTGAAGCAAATTGACAAAAAAATAAAATAAGTAATGACAAAAACAGTTTAAATTTTAGTTAAAAATCGGAGATCAAGTTTTATTGAGAAATGAAACAGGTCATAAGATAGATTTCAATTATACTGGACCATATAAAGTAGATAGTATAGGAGATACTGATAATACAAACAAAAGAACAACAAAAAGTACATAAGGATAGATTACAACTTCTTCTGATATAATAATTTTATACATACACAAATAGTTAACCGGAAACTACTTTTAAATAATTGGCAAAAAATAAAAAATACAAAAAAATATAAATAACTTCATATGTAACACCCTGCTATATATATAAATTCATCTTAAGAGCGTATATATATGTAGTGACATAAGCAATTATTGTTTATGTTAAACATTTCTTTAGTATAGCAGCTTCTTGAGCACGGGTCAGCTAGCTGCCCAAACTGATGAGGCATTTTCCCAAAACTCACGCAGAACCCAAACGAGGGCAACCCAATTATACATTGCGTTGCTTCGTGTTTTTTTCTCCGCAGATAAGAGCATGAAATTTTTTTTTGTTGATTTTCACAATTTTCAAAATTACCTTCCAATTGAAATCTCGATATCGATAGCAAATTAGTGGCTGAACGGAAAACAGTGAATGCGTTATCGGTCACTTTTAAGGTATTTTATAAAATATGCTTGAACACTGGTCACTCTAATTCATGGTCACTCTAATTCATGAAAACAATCCGTGGTTGCCCAATATAAATTTGCAATTGTTTTTATTTGATATCCACGGTCTTCAACTGTTAAATGGCACAGGTGGCATTCCTCGATAACTTGCTGAGAGAATATCTCGTGTTTCGAGGCTTCTCCAGCACTTTAAAAGCGCTGGACTTGGAGCAGCGTACCGAGAGGGACCAGCACTTTCGGGCCGAGCGCATCCTGGAGCAGTTTACATATGCCGTGCAAACGTACGACCTGCACGGCCTACGGAGCCTATGGCTACACCTGGACAATAATCTGTTCACCAAGCTGGACCACACCTACGCCGTGGGTAAGCAGCCCACTACGAACCCGCCTATTGCTCCCAATCTAACAAACATACATTTTTGTGGGATTCATTGCATGCCCTTAGCCGTAAAGAAACTGGAGAACAGTCTGCTCAAGTACTATCTGGTGACGGCCTACAGCAACCACAAGTCGGAGAAGATATCAGAGTTCTTCAACAAGATGGCAGGCGAGCTGCAGCAGCAGAGCGAGTGGAAGGATTGGTTCTGTGGGTTGAGATTTGGAATCCCCTTGACATTCTTTGATTGGAGTTTTATTTGTTTGCAGATTTCCCCTTCTGCAAGAACGCAGAAGAGTCGCCCAGCTTTGCTCTTTACTTTACCAAACAGTGGCAGGACACGTCGCTGTTGTCGCTACGCAACTTCCTGACCACCGTCTATCAATGCTTGCCACAGCCCTCGTTTGTGCGTGCCGAGCAGGAAGCGGCCCATATGCAACGGCTCAGTGAGGACAATGTTGGCCTACGCTCTCGACTCCTACAAGCGCAGCAGGAGCTGCAACAGCAGGCGCAGCAACAGCCAGTCAGCGGTAGCTCGCACAACTTGAGCGGCGACGCTAACACGCGGCGGCGTAGTGTTTATCGGCATCAGCAGAGCCTAAACGATATCTTGCCCTTCGACATTAGTCCGCCGGGTCACATAGTCGACGACTTCTGCATCATTGCCTCCGAGGCGAACAGTGTGGGCCAGGCCAGTGATGCGCAGGCTCGTGGGCTCAAGCTACTTATACGCAATATCGGATCTGGAAGCTCTCCAGTTCTGGGACGGAAGGATCACGCCGCCGGCTCGGTCGGCGACAAGTCGACCAAGCGCAGATCCGGCAGCGTGGGCCGCAGTTGGATATAGACATGCAATAATCGTAGTAAATCAGTGATAGACGCATTCAAACATTCATATATTACTGCCTGGTCTCTGTGTGTTTTTCAATGTATTTATTGATTAGCAATTCTCCTTAGCTCGTAGACGTACAAAAGAAAGAGCAATGCGTGTAGCGTAATACATAATTGCAATAAATAATGTAAAATTACAAATAAATATAATGTATAGACGATTCGTATTTGCATTCGTATTCGTATATAAAATATCCGTTTATACAAGCAGCACAATTTTAAAAATACAGTTTATTGTATAAAGGTATTGTGTGTATATAGGTAATTGATATATGTATAAGTTTTGCATAAAGTAGCATCGGTTTTGACTCGTTCCATTTCGTCAATAAATGCAGGTTCAGCGTGTGGCTAGTGGGTAAGTGTAGGTGAAGCCTAAGGATTAGGATTGCTTGTCTCTCGATTATCCGATTGCTTCTTATGGAATATGTATCTATCCGAATCCACCCGTGCGAGTATGTGGGTGAGCGGTTTCGGGTCCTACTTCTGTGCCTCCTGCGAATGCAAAGGCGGGTTAGACCCGTTTGCATCGCCAAGTCTCTTAGAGGGCTGTCTCAAACGACGGCAGTGCAGTGGCCACTAGTGGAGCGTTCGCACATTTGTTGCTCTCTGCACTGGATCCTGCAGAGTTGCCTCCTTTGCCCGCGAAGGTGTGCTTAAACTCGCCGCGCATGAAGTTGTTCTGCTCGGTTTGCAGGAAAAAATTGCGCTTCAGATCGTAGCTGGAGGTGACAACAGGAGGGCTGATTGCTGTTTCTCCCGCCTCAGAGCTGGCACGTGATCCTCCGCTTGTGTTGGAGTGATCCTCCTCGCTGTTGGCCTCTGGTATTGTGGTGGACATAATGTCCGTTCGTGGTGCGGCAGATGCAGCGGCCACCACATTAACAGGACCACGGGCCTTTGGCACAAAGGTCTTGGATGGCGATCCGAACTGGCCCTGACGCAGCATCCTGCGGTTGGCAAACGTCTTTGGCGAGCCGCTCAGATCGAGCAGCTTGAGACTGGAGTTAATCGTGGCCTTGGCTGCTCCTGGCGCTGCAGTTCCCACTTTGGCAGCAGGTCCACTGGCCTTCGTCGTTGGTGCTGGGCCAGATGTTTGACCGCACGACTTCTTCAGCAGTTCCACGGCTGACATTTTCCGCTGTACGGGACTCGTCTTGGCTGACTTGGCCAGCAGCAGCTTCTTGAAGTCCATCAACGTCGTCTTGCTCTGACCAATGCGATCGGCGCAAGTGTTCAGTCGCTCCGGCGCATCATCGGACCAGTTTCGCGAGGGCTGCTTCATTGGCGGTACTTGGGCATTCTCTCCTGCCTTCTCCACCTCACCGCGAGTGGGCGTGGACGTGAGGAAGGCTCCGCCGCGAGTCCTTGGCACAATTGGCGATATGTTGCTTTTGCCATCTGGGTTGTCCACTGAGGGGCCAGCAGCTCCAGTGGCGGCCGCTGCCCGGGCCAGGCGATCGGCTCGCCGTATTGGCGTGGCGTACAGATCATCCCGGCAGGTAACGTTGCCACTAGGCTGTGCTTTCTGCTGGTTGCGGCGACTCTGCAGTGTCCAGTAGATGGGTGCGCTTCGCTGGAATGGCGTGGCTGAGTCATCTGTGGGCTGTGTGGTGGTCTGTGCAGGCTGCACTTGCTCATAGATGTTAGAGAAACGTTGATACCCTGGGGAGAAAAGATAAGTTCGATGCGAATTAGTCAACGGATACACAAGTCTGCCGATTTCATCATGGGTTTAGTAGGCAATTTCAAGTGCGGATGGTTAGGATAATCGACTAGAGAAGAAGCATTCAAAGCAAGCGGCGCCATACATACCTGGTAGTCTCGAATGAACGTATTCCCCTCAAATTTTATGCACGATTAATGTATATACATGGATCTGGTGAGCTGGTGCTTGGGTGCTATAATGTGAGGATGCTTTTGTATGCTTTGGGTGCATGTGGGGGTGGTGGATGGACGGTGGTATAAGTATGGGAGATCCTTTACCTCAATCAGCCTTGGGTATGGTATGGGTGCCATGATAATGTCAATGATTCAATGCCAAATTTTCGTTTCGTTTCTTTTCGTTTCGATTTATTTTTGTTGCAAAAACATTACTTACGATCGGTGGGGTGTTAGATGTTCTTTTGTGTGGAATGTGGTTTGGACTTAGGCGAGATCTTAAGGTTATGGCCATGAGCTAATTTTTCAAACTACGAGTACTACAGACTTGAGCACCTCCTCCTCCTTATGGGAGCAAGAGTATGTTATCGTTAGTTCTGGGAAAGTGTGCAAAAAACTACTACTACTACATTAACATAGACAAACACACATGCTGGCATGCTGGGATAAATGATGCAATAGAAGTCTTTTGCACGCTTTTGATATTACATAAATTTTGGATAAAAAATCATAAATAATTCGAGTAGTTTTACAAAAATTAGCATCATAGTCGTGGTAGAACATAAAAAACTTACGTATAAAACGTGAACGGTGCAAAAAACTTTACAAAATTTACAATAGACATGTGTTGTGTTGGAAAAGTTATTATTTATCATCTCTCAATCGATCATTTATTTTACATTTTTGTAACGGAATGATATAGATAATTGTGTTTGATCTACAGAACGATCGAAAGAACAAGAAGACCCAAGATTTTTATGTTAAGACTTTTGAATAAAATATATGCCGGATCTCATTGTTCTCAGTGTATTTTGGTCTGATTGCTGTCCTAGAATTCACTACGGGATTGTTCGTTGAACGTAATTGCCTTTTAGGGATGCTTTTTCAATGCTCTGGGAGTAGGTTCGTTTTGGAGTGTTCCGAATATTCGAATGAGAGCCCGACATATATTGAATACAAATTGCAAATGAGCAAAGGAAATGTTGACAAAAAATTAAGCGTGACGGACAACCAGTCCTGCGTCTTTCGAGCCGGCTATTGCTAAAACTATTCCACACAGGTACAACAACATGTTGGTTTATGTTAATTACAATTAGTTACAAACTTATAGTATTTTTTAGGGGTAAACGAACACAAATAACATTAATCTTAATCGCTATGGTTAAAACACACACAAACAAAAAGTTGGTTATTTAAACGGTTAAACGGGCCCAAAATTGGGAAAATAAATTAAAAAACAAAATATCAGGGTGTTCCCCTGTAGACTGCCGCAAGGGATAGTAGTATATCAAGCGTAGGAGCGCAGCAGCAGTGGCAGGGACATTGAACCCCAAGATACAGGACTCGAGACTCCACCAGGCAATTGAACACGCACACGAGCCTAGTGGCTGGCAAAGTGGAGGCAACATTAATGAGCGCCACCATGTGAAGATGCTGTGTGGTGCGGAGATTGTCAATTATTTTGCAGTGTTTGCTCAAGACGCCCTCCTTAAAGGCGCCTGGGACATGTGTGAAAAGGGTTGGGCATTGACAAAAGGTCAAACTACAGCCAGGGACAGGCTTTTACCAGATCTCCGTCACCTCGAACTTTTGCAAAATGCGCTGACGACGGACCCCGTTGTCGTCGTGGGGCAGAATGATTTTGAAAGGCCGCAGCAGCACGCTATCCACAAAGGACTTGTGGTACTTGGGGGCGGGCACGGGCGCTGTCAGCGCCTCCACATCGTCCTCCGAATCGGAGTCGGAGTCAGAGTCAGAGTTGCGTGCAGCAGTGTCTGTGTCTGGCTTTTGTTCGCTTTCTTGGGACTCATTGGCCAGGGCCAGAAGGGCTGGTGAGTCATCGAAATTTTCCAGCGATTTGTTCTTCAAATAGGAGGAATCGTTGCCGGAAGTGAGCGACAGGGAGAACTCATCGACGAGGCGCTCAAAGGATTTGGCTATCTTGCGCTCCCCGCTGGTGCTGGCAGGTGTGGCTGGCAGGTTGTTGAGGTTGCGCAGCCTAAGGGAACTTGTTGCATGCTGCATGGGGGGCAATGTACCCGAATTCGAGCCTGCGAGAGGGCCTCTCTCGGCACCGAACGAGAGCTGAAGTCCCTGGTTCTCCTTATTCATTTCCAGCTTCAGCTCGTCGTTGGCCAGCCTATAGCTGTTGTTGCGCTTGAGAGCGGCACGAGGCTTGCCGGGATTTGCATTTGCATTTGCATTCGCATTCGGATTCACATTCGGTAGGGAGAAGTGCACTGCAATTGGGTCAATCGATAAGGCAGGGGGTGGAGTTGGGGCTGGAGTCGTATTGTCATTTACTTTCGCCCTCGGCGGCAGCAGGGGTGGCAGCTGCTGCTGCTCCACCGCCTGCCCACCTTCATCCCCATCTTCAGCCCCACGGGGGTTAGTTTCCATTTCAGCAACCCTCACTTTCGACTCGCAATCTTTTGGACGCTGCTGCCGCTGTGGATGCTGCCCTACGCTTGATATGCTCGTGCCCATTGATGCGGATTTTGACTTGCTTTTGACTCCGAAATTGTAGTGTTTGTTAATGTTTGTTTCTGTTGCTGTTGCTGCTGCTTCTGTTGTGGCAGTGTTGCAAGGTAGCGTGTTATATACATTAGCAGAGGAGGAACAGGGTTTGGATTCGGTTTGGGGATTAGACTTAAGTGTAGGTGTAGGTGTATGTGTGGGTGGGCAAGCGAAATGGCAACTGTCTGCCGGCGGCTGGAGCACTAGCTTACCTTCTTCGCCGGAGTGGGCCGACGCCGTAGAGGAGGACGAATTGGTGGCCGTGGAGCCAGTCGATGAGTTGGAGTTGCCCGAGGGCGAAGGCATCATGTTGCCCGTTGCCGGGGCAGCGGCGGCGGCTGCAATTGTTTCGTAGAAGGGATTCGTGTGGTTGGCCAGCAACTGCTTCTGCTCCTGGTAGGTGCCTCCGCCGACTGTCGCTGACTGATACGCAGCCATGCTGCTGCTCTGAGGGATCTTGCTGAGCGGCGACTTGGCTACTATGGGACGCACATTGGCCACCTTGCGGTGGTTGCCAGCGATACCGCCGCTGCTCAATAGCAATAGCTTGGCGCTCTTTGTTGTCGCCGTCAGAGGGGATGTGGCCGTGGATTCTGCTTCTATAGATCCGGGTTCTCCTGCTGCTGCTGCTGCTGCTGATGTTGCACTTTCGCCCGTAGCGGCGTCTCGCGTTGCACTGAGCAGGGCACTTTCGGTTTCCTTTACGTAGGGCCCAGGTGCAAAAGTGGTGTGTGCACCCTTGCGCCGCTTCAAGCTGTCGGAATCGTATATGACTCTGCCCTCGGCCGTCGTGCGCACCCGACGCTGCTGCTGCTGCTGTTGCTGCTGCTGAGCGGCGACGAGCGATTTCTCCTCGCGCAGTTCGCTGATTTCCGCATACATCGGCACCCCGCAACCCTCGCTCCGGGTGGGTTGCTGCCTCTGCCGCTGCTGCTGCAGATGGGGTGGCGGGGTGGCCTTGCCAGCTGCTGCCGTCTCACCGGGCAGCAGCAGCTGTGCGCAGGCCCCGCTCTCGCTCAGCGGCAGCGGTAGGGCAGAGGGAGAGCCATGGGTTGCATGCCGACGCAAGTGCTGAGGCAGCTCGTTCAGCGACACGTACTCGGACGTAGCAGCAGCCGAAGCCGAGGCTCCGCGACGAACTATGTCATTGGAATAGTAGATGCCGAGGCTGGAGCCAGCGCCCGAGGGCGTAATCTTTGCCCTGTGATTGTTGTTGTTGTTGCTGATATCCGCAATGGTGACGTACTCGCCCGCCAGGTCGTAAAGCTCGTCGTCATTGACGGCACTGGCGGAGGCGGGCTTAGGCTTTGGCTTAACCGGAGAGCTTTTTCCCGGCACAAGCTTCACCTTGAGCTTCTCAAACATTCCGCTCAAAGCTTTCGTTGGCGTCTGCTTCAGCTCGTTTAGGTTGTGGTCTTTGCTACTCTCCGCATTCGCATTTGTTGGTGTCCTCTGTTCCGGCTCTGCGGCATCATCCTGGTCCACATCCACGTCCACGGAGAGATTGGTGAGGGTTCGATCGGCCTGCGAGTGGTGCTCGTCATCGTCGCTGGTCGTGGGCGTGATGATGCACATCGAGGGAATCCGCTTCGAGGTGATGGCCGTCTTCTGCTTGATCCGCTCGATGCGCTCCACTCCCTCCAGATCCGAGCTCTCCGAGAACTCCAGCTCCGTTGCCCCGCCCGGTAGAGGCATGGCCGAACGCTGCTGCTGCTGATCCTCCTGCTTGGCAGCATCCTCAGCATTGGGCGCCATCTTCACGTTCCTCTTGATGGTTCCCGTCCGTTCCAGTGTGCTGCCGATGGTGCTGCTGCTGTAGCTCCGCTCCAGGGTGCTGCTGCTGGCACTGTTGCTGTTGCTCTGACTGTGGCTCTGGCTCTGGCCAGAGCTGTGCTTGCCCAGCGAGCTGGTCCGCTCCGGCACATCCGGCCCGGAGATGGCTCCGTTCAGGAGCGTGGTGCAGACAGTGCCCGCCGAACTGGTCGTGGTCGAGGTGGAACCCCGGCCGTACAGCTCGTACTCGTTCTCCGCGTTGAGCACCGTCTGGTTCGACTGGCTGCCGAAGGAGTAGGAGCTGGTGTGCAGGCTCTGCTGCAGCGGGGTCATCGGTGGCTCCTCCTCCTTGAGCGTGCGCAGGCCGCTGTCCATGTGGAAAGAGGTGTAGTAGCCCTCGGTGTCGCAGCTGTACGCGGAGCTGGTCTCGTCGTCCAGATGGTTGGGATACGCCCCAGCCTCCGTCTGCAGCTCCGGCGTAGCTGTGCCCTCGCTGGTCACGCTGCTCGAGGCGGAGGTGTTCAGGAATCGCCGCCGGCTCATCATTGAGGAGGGCGGTCCACTGCTGTTGCACGGCTGGAAGCTGGACACATTCAGCGAGGTGTTGGAGGCACTAGACTTGGGCTGCATGGTGATCTCACTGCCGATGGAGGCGCGTCCCGACTCGGAGCTGGCGCTCCAGTTGCCGCTAGAAGAGTGCGGCTGCTCATCCTTGCCGGCCAGGCCGTGCAGTCCGTTCCGCCGCTGTCTGTTCAGCGTGGCCGTCTCCCGCATCTTCACGTTGGCCGCCGCCAGCGTGGAGGAGAGCTGGAGCTTGCCCCTCAGCTGGCCGCTGCTCGACACGCTCATGCTCTTCTCCGAGGAGGAATACGAGGGTTTTCGTTCGTGCGAAAACCGAGATTCACTCTTCTGGGCGATCAGATCGTGCACCACACACTCTTCGTCAATGTCGCGCTTGGGTTTCGCGCTGGCCTTGGACTTGCCACCACCCCGCTCCACGCTCGAGGAGCCGAGGCCCGGCGGCGATCCATGGCTGCTGCTGTCCGGCTTCTCGGCGGAACTGTTCTGGGAGCTGCATCCGCTGGTGTCCAGCTGGCTGCTCTCCCCAAGGCCGTTCAGCTCTCCCGCCCGGTGCATGAACTTGAACCGGTTGCGGCCCCACTGCTTCAGGGAGTTGAGGCGGGTCAGGGTGCTCTTGCCTTTGTCGTAGGGCAAGGCAACAGATTCCTTTTTTAAGATGTCGCTGGACTTGCTGCGTCCGAACTTCTTCGACTTCTTGGCGCCCTCCGGCGTGTCCGCACTGGCCGCAGCCGGTGCCGGCGATGTGGCACTCGATGAGGCATTCTGCTTCGAGGAGGACTCTCCATTTCTGCTTACGTGTGTGGGAATTCGGGTTTTGCATAAATTGTGCAACAGAACACACACATTTTTTGTTGGGTTAGGAGGGAACATAAAAGAGAAAATATATGTTTGGTATTTGGTTAGCATATTTGTAATGATTGATGGAAGATGTCATATGGAAGATGGAAGATGGAAGGAAGGGCATGGAAGACAGCCTCGTAGGACAGAGCCACACAGAGAGAAGGAGAGAGATGGTACGAGTATAGCAGAGAGTATAGCAGAGACAGAGATATTCCTATGTAATGTGATTATTGTGAGAAGTTTTTCAGTCAAGATTTGCTTTTAGACGAACGATCTATTAGACACACAGATGCACACGCACACACAACAGACATGGGAATAGATGGGAATCTAGAATTGTTGAGTCTAGAATCTAAATTAATTAATGGCACAGTTCAGAGGTTAATTTTCCCGAATACATTTGTATTTTTCTCATTTCGTTTCTCATTTTTCATTTCCCATTTTCTTGCTGTTCCCGCCGCCGCCTCATCTGTTGATTATTAGAGACGATTACAACATCTACATTTTAGTTTCGAGTGGAGCAGATCATCCATCCCGCCACTCTATGAGGCATCTATGTGGCATGCAAAGTGCTAGCGAGTGGCAGAGAGAGACGGGGCAGGCGCAGGGAGATAAGAATTCGACTCATTTCGATTCTGGGGCAAGAACGGCCTGAATTAGGGGATTCATCGGGCTGGAGGCTGGTGGGGAGGGGCCCCAAAGTGCAGTCATTGCTAAAAGATTTTCATTGAATTTCAATGTATGCATACTCGAATGAGCACAAACAAAATCAAATACGAAAGAAATGCCAGCTTTTGGGTTGGTCGATGTTTTGGATACCCTTTGCAGGAAAATCAGTCTAACAAAAGAGAACCCCCTTAACGTGCAGCATTAATGTGCCGCATAATGCAAAGGGCATTTATTTTTTCCTCCGTTCTACCTAAATGCTGAGTCTTTGCCTTGCAAACATAACTGTTAAATGAAGACTACCCCTTTTTGTGTGAGAGTAACAAAGAATCACGGAATGAATGCACTTACAGTTTTGCAAGAACTGGCCATCGGGGCGTTAGCTTTTTCGCTGGTTTCAGCATTTTTCGACTGCTGATCGCACAGCATACAATATTGAACAGCATTGACATAATGTGGCACACAAACTTGTAGTCTTTCTTGTGTGTGTGTGGGTGTGTGTGTGTGTAGGGTCTCTCATGTTGCACATATAGAACGCAGTCAAATGGAATGACGCCGTCTCTGGGCTGTCGCTGGGACTTGGAGCCAAAAGTCCATGGCTTTTGTGGGCAGACGCCCAACAAAACAAAATAAGATTTATGAAACTTTTAGCAAAAGGCGTCGCGTCGTGTCGTTTCGTGTGCGCCGTGGCATTTGAAAAGCACAGGAAAGGCTGAGAGTCTGAAGTAAAGTAAAAACTTGTGCAAAATCCTACAGAGGAGTTTGCCTCTCGCATGATTTATGCTGATGATGCGGCGGACAGCGGCGTGCAGCGGAGGAGTTGCAGGAGAGAGAAGCTTGAAAGAGTGGGTCGACTGACTGACGACTGACGACTGACTAGATCCCAGCTATAGGTCCAAGGAGGAGTGCATGTGGGTGTTCGAGGCTCGTGGCCTGGCCAAGAATGCATGGGTGCCCCACATGACGGTGGCTGTGGCTGTGGCGGGGGCGGGAAAAGGGCGAATGTCTGGTGTGGATCATGATATGTACGTGTATGGATGTATATGACTGTTCGTATTCATGTGGGTACTCTGTATCTGTATTAAATATTTTTCGTTGAATTTGTTAGGCTGTTGTTTTTTTTGCATTGAATCAAAAAATGTTTATCCAAAGTTGCATTGTTTCGTAATGTTTCCATTGTCGAATTCGTAAAAGGAATGCGGCTGAAATTCAATTGTAATTTGGAATGCAACAGCAAGTATCTAATTACACGTACATTAAGCTAAAAACACAATTTATTTACAATTTTATTTGTATTTCTTTGTACAACATTCAAATTTTGTTAAGCAATTTTCGTAATTTGTAATAATTTCATGCATTTTGTGCGGCTAATTCGGCAAACAATATATATAGTATTCGATATAATATGTAGTTAATGGCACAGGAATCTGCTTTGTTTTGTACAATCATAAGAAAGAAAAATCAACAAAAACAAAGAAAACTAAACAGCATAACAAATTGTTCAGCTACAAATTTGGCTGTTCACAATAATCTCATAGGAAAATGCAGTTGAGAATAAATGGGGGATACGATGGGTACGATTCTTCTGAGATATGATTCTTCAGATATGTACACATATACGATGTTTAGTATGGGACTTATGTACAGTTCTGATAGGCAGTGTGAGAGTTCTAGGAACTGCTCGGCGTTTGAAAGAGAAGTAAGAGATAGGTATCCGTCTACACGGATATCCATAGATAGATATATAAGAGAGCTAGAGATACATACCCATTGGCTGCGTCTTGGATCTCCTTCTGGTCGATGCCGGCTATCGTGTTCCTCCGCTTGCCGCGCACCTTGCGGGACCGCGACCTCCGGCTAACCGTCTGCACGTTGTCGTCCAGGTTGTTGGCCTCCGTCTGTCCGTTTTCGGGACTGGCGCTGCTCGAGGAGGCCGCCGGGGTGGTGCCACCGGCAAAGCATCCTGCCGTGGACTTGCGGGCCGCACACATTCGCTGGAAATTCTTTCCAGAAATGTTCACCGAAATCACTTCGGCGGGGTATCTGTGGAAACCGGAGAAGAGGGGGCCATGGTTAGTTCTCCTTTGGAAATCGATCTCCTGCTGTTGGGGCACAGTTTGAAGTGCGCTTTTTGTGGTTACCCAAACTATAATTCGTTTGCCCGAACCACAGCACTTTTGTGCCCCCAATCAGTGGAGCATGAACACGGCTCCGTCTGATGGCAGCGGCAGCGGCAGCGGCTGTGGCTGCTGCTCCATTTGGGAGCCTAACAAATGAGCCATGGCCGGAACGGGGCGTGGCCCAAAGGGAGGGGGGCTCGACACTTGCATAATTGTGCGGTCACCGCACTGTAAATATTCATACGATACGTAATTCAATTAATTTATTTAAGCTTTTTTATCCGAGCGATACGCGCGATGCGCTCTCTGAACAAACATACGACTGAAACAGTCGAAACACGGATGGAAAAAATGTGGAAAATGTGGACGGAAAAACAACAGTTTTTGTGGAAAATGTGGACAGAAAAACAACAGTTTTTTTGTGGCTGGAAAAACAAAAGCAAACACGTGAAATTTGCATAAAAAACCTATTAAAATTGTGTATTTAAAGTTCAACAAATTAACACTACACAGTACATTTGAAACTGTAATATGGAAACGGTAGATGTCAAACTTTTAGCTTAGCACAATAGCTCGCAAACTGTAAGGTAGGATTTCCATTTGAAGGCTAAACTTTGAGTATTTTGTGATTGGATGGGTAAATTTTGACCCTTGGATACTCACTTTAAGGCAATCTGTTTGGTCTGCTCCTCGGGTGAAGGCAGTCGATGATTCAAAGGCACATCTTTATTGATATCGTTCGGCAGCAATGCCTGATTGTGATGATGGGATGGATGATGATGATGGTGGGAGCTGCTGTCCGCCGCCTGGCTAAGGTTCTGGGCGTACAGGGCGTCGGCGGCATCGGCGGACAGCACGGACGGAGAGAGGGCGGGCGTGTGGACGCCACTGTCGCCGATGACCATGGAGGTGCTTATCGAGGTGTCCACATGGTGCATGCAATCGGGCGTGACGGTGACATCACCCAGCGCCTCGCTGGAGGTCCACTTCCGCAGATCCTCGATGGCAGCGGGCTGAAAGAAAGAGACAGATGGAATAGCAAAGGGTTAGGGATAAAGGTTGAAAAATGTGTCCATTTGGCATGCAAAATATTGTATGTTGCTTTATGTCCTGCCGGACAGCTCCCTAATTAGTCGCTGGAGGAGTCACGCAGAAGGCCTGAAAAATGTGTCTGCCTCCTGGCATTTGTGTTTGCGCAAACATTCTTTATGCTTTCCGCAAATTGGGGCAAGTCACGCCATTTACAAATCCCTCCCCAACCCCCTTCCCAAAAAAAAAGAGCAGCAACACGCGTTTTGTGCTTTCAAAGTGAAATTCAATCAGTCTAATTAAAAACAATAGAAGAACACGTGGGCCAGGGATACCCTTCCAAGGGCAGACTACAGTTTGGGACCCCAACAAAATGGTTTCCTCGTTCTTCACAATTTTCTGCGACTCTTCCCCATGCAGTGTAGCTATACACTCGGAGAAAAATGGCAGAGTGAAAAGAAACACAACCATAAATATTCGGTTTTAAAATACAAAAAAAGTGTAATTAAATGGAGTGTACTTTGATTCAAGCATAAATTAATCAAAAATTATACTATGGCCCATAGTTAATATATGTATTTAATACAAATAGGAAACACTTTGTCTTTAAATATGAATTACGTTTAATTAAAAAGCGGCTTTTTCCGCGGCTCACCACGTTCCCCCTCGTTTTTCTCTGGGTGTATAGAAAACATTCCCTAGATTCGAATTGTTTTCAATTCCTAAGTGAATTACTCTCTTAAAAAAGCAAAAACGCAATCGTTTCATTTGATTTTCGGTTCGACTGCTGTCGGTATCAATTGTAACAATGGAAAATCATGTGCGGAGTGAGGAGTGGGGAATGGGTAGTGGGGACTTCGGAATCGGGGAAACCCTCACCCCCAGAAAAATCTACATAAAAAGGCACTTGAGCTAGATTTCCAAATGGCCAAAGTCAGCAGCGGCTCGGCTCTCTCTGACCATAAAGAAAGACGGCTACGGCTACGGCTACGGTTACGTCTACGGGTATCCCACATCGGAGTCTGAGTCGCATTTTGAGTCTGCCAAAAACTCTTTCAGCGAGAGGGTGCCGGGGTTTCCGTCTTTCTTGTCAATGGATGAATGGGGCGGCCCAGTGGCCCAGGCGGCCCAGGCGGCTGAGCAACTTTTAACGATAAAATATTCGCACATAAATGTCGAGTGCCGTATATAATAATGCAATTTAAGTGCCGTCAAGTAAACAACAATAACAGCAACCCCTCCATGCCATTCCTTATGCCTTTGAATGCCTTTCCATGCCCCTCCATGCCTTTCGTTGCCATCTTGAAGATAGTTGCTGCCGTAACCAATAAACCGCAGAGCGCTAATGGGTCTCGTCTCGAAAGTCTGGGCTCCAGGTTCGGGTTCTTTTTCTCTTTGGGTTATCTGGGGAGTACGCAGTGCCAGGCCGAGCGGAACGTTGCGGCCAACTAGCGTCAAACGCAATGCGAAAAGGATTAAAAGTCATTTTATTAAGCAGCAGACGACAGAAACAGAACGGAGGAGATACAGGGAGAGATGTGTGGCTGGGGGACTGGCGACAGGCGACAGGCGACTGGGATTGACAACCCAACCGGCGCTGTTTTGGCCAAAAACAAGTTTGGCAACCTATCGAACAGCGATCCAAATTGTCGTCGTCGTCGCCGTCGTCGTGGCTGAGTCTGTGGCTGTCTTTGCCAATGGCATCGTCTATTGGCCATTGGCTGTTTGTCTTTTGGAGCTTATCTAATGGCCTGGCCAGCAGATAAACTGGAGACGACACAAAGACGACAACAACAACGAAGTGGGCCAACTGCAAATGCGCGTTAGCTCAAATTAACTGCAATTTTCTGATATGTTCTCAAAGAATTTGCGACAGCGAACAAAGACGGAATAAATTGGAAAGAAAAACTCAGCTGAAGATGCGATCTCCTATGTAGTTTTGTATATAAATAATATTTTATAGTGAAAAATCCTCAAATAGAGGCAATAAATTCAAAAATTGCATGAGCTTCAGCCATAAACAAAGGAATTTTCAAGATACTTGAACGTTGAATGAGCAAAGAATGGAATGGAATTCATCTGGAAGCAACTGAAGCACACAGATATATATCTTCTCTAGAAATATAAATGATTTTAAGGTTGAGATTCTCTAGGAGATACTTAAGATGTGGATGGAGTGGGACTGCAAATGGAAACTGTCAAAATTCAACAAATAAATGATGATTCCCAAAAAATTTGAAAAAATAAATATGAGAAATATTCAAAATGGAAAATGATTCAAAAAAATACAATAAAAATTTAATTTATGGGAGCGTATTCTGTTAATGCTACCTATGAGGATTCCCTTTCTGAATCCTATCTTAGACACAAATATTTGGAGACATAATCTCTGGAGGAAACAATCCCTCAAGGATACAATCTCTGAACGAAACAGTCAGTCCTTTAGAGAAACATATCTTAGAGAAATCATCTTTTGTATCCGTAATCTCTGAGAACACAATTTTAGAGAGTACACAGCTGCTGGTAGATACATATATCTAGAGCCGCAATATCTCCTCAACTAAGGAACGCTCTCCCATAAAATGTTCCTTAAGAAGACTCTTCAAATCCAGTCCAATCAATTTATAAGCCATCACAAGACTTAAGCCACAACCGAAAGGAGGGAAATCCCTGTCGCCGGCCTCTCTTCCGCCCCACCAGCTTGGAAAAGACATAGTGGCGTGGGACGACACTTGAGCAATTAAAACGGAGTCAACTAACTCGAATGATTTGATGGAGTCTTAGCCTGTCCCGCCCCCCGATTGATGGAGCTGCAGCGCCTCCTCGTTAGATGTTGGCCATTAGGCGGAGCTGCAGCTGGAGCTGCTGCAAGATGTGTGGTCCCTCCTCGTTCGATGTTGCAGGCTCTTCTGTGTGTGTGGGGGCTATGTGGAGCACACGGACGGACGGGACAGAGAGAGAGAGATGGAGGAGAGTCTGGTCTATGGCTTTTAGAGGCGACACAGCTGGCAGATAGCAGGAAGCCACAGCCACAGCCACAGCATCAGCCACTGGGACCACACACATGAGGTCGTTATGGGGTTCGCTTCGTTTCGTTTTGGTTTTGCCTTTGGTTTGGGGACCTGGTCTGGTCTGTCCAGGTCTCCGGACTCTATGCGTGCTCCGGCCACTAAACATATTATTTATGCATGTGGCATTAACTTTTGCGAGTACCTGTGCCTGGACATGAAAACGGGCCATCGCCTAACGGAGCAGCCCGGGAAAACCCGTTTAAAACTCACCAAACGTATCTCGATCTCGGCATCGATGCGCGTGCGCAGCTTGCGATTGGCATTGCCAAAGTCGGACACGCAGATCAAATAGTCCTCGGAGTCCTCGGAGACTCCGCCTCCGTTCGTTAGGACATCGTGACCATTGTGGTAGGCCCCCGTCGTTCCGTCCCCGTTGAAGGAAATGGAACGCGGCGGAGTGGTGCCCGTGGCCGTGGCATTGGACTGGGCCAGAGCCGCGAGGGCTCCTGCGGTGGCCGCTCCAACGGGCCGGTCCTTGCCGGCCTCCGTGTACAGCTGGCGAACGCTAAGCGGCCGCGTGTCGCCGGTGAAGAGCTCCTGCTGGAATGACTTGTCCGTCTCGTAGTGCTCCTTGCGCTGTGCAAAGGTGAGGAGGTCGCTTTCAGCTGGAAGAAACACACAAAAAGAGGAGCCATTAGCGCTTATTTTCTTGGAAATTAGTTCTAGAGTACACTACAGGGGGTGTTCGAGCAAACACAAAAGATTTGTATACACAAAGAAATGATCCACAAAGCGAGAGAGAGATCTAAAGTGGCATCCACCAGATAGATACAACCTAGCACTGCCCCATCTATATATGGCACTATCGTCGTATCATTATCATCGCCAGCAAGTACTCAAAAGTGCTTTATGTGTAATCTAATTGAAAGCGGCCTGTCCCTGTCCCTGTCGCTGTCGCTGTCCCGCCCTGCTGCGTGTCTGCGTGTGGCGTGCCCCCGTTTCCTGCCACACATTAATTGGCAGCTCCCATCGATCGCTGCTCTCGAGAGATCCGCAAACAATGGCAGGCCGGCCGCAAATAAATCAAAGCGAAAATTAATAGAGTGGAAAAATCGCCAGAGACCAAGGACACAGGCAACAGAAAAAAAAGAAGAAGAAAATAATCAAAATAAACGAATGCCATGAAAAATTGTAATTAACTTTAATAACACTGGCTGCCACATGCCACCGGGCGTCTCCTCCGGCAGTTGCATATTTAATTCTCACAGCAGTCCCGTGGCCGGCAGTCGGTCGTCCCTTTGGAGGGAGGGATAGATAGATGGAGTGGGGAGTACGGACCATGGCCGCCGTTTGTCTTTCTGGCTGTCTGCACATTTTGCATTTAATAGGCCGCCATGTGGACTTGGTCGGTAATGAAAACAAAGCCCGAGGAGTCCGAGGAGTCCGATGAGTAGCGGCAGCAACTACCAGGAAGCAGCACCCAACAGCTACAACAAGATGGAGCAGAAGCAGCCACTCGTAGATTAACAAGCCCAGAGCAAAGACACTTGACACAGCAGCAGCAGCCAGAGACAGAGATGGAGACGGAGACAGAGCTGGACCGCTGCCAGGCACTGCAACTGCAACAGAAGCTGCCCGCCCAATGAGGAGTGGCAGGAGGCAGGAGGCACTGAACGAACCTAGCGCTAAATTCAGGCAATTTTATGGCACTCGGGCCACGTTTTGACGTTCAGTTGCGCCACTGAAAGATGCATGGGTCTGTAGCCAGCAGCCAGAAGCCACCAGCCACCAGATTCTTTGCCATTTCGCCAGCAATTTCAAGTGCGTAGACACTGGCACACGTACTCCGGCACGGGCACCGGCACGGGCACCGGGAATGACCCCCATATACAAGATACAAAAATACATTTCCATGCCGTTCCTTTTTTTTGGCCAAATGTGAAATTCAATTAGGCATGCTCTCAGGTGCAAGGCTACTGCTGCCTTGGTGCTCTGCTCGGTGGCAAGCGGAAGCTGGCAGACAGCAGACCGACCAGCAGGAAATGGCAAATTATCGAGGCAAAAATTATTTTTCCCTAAAACTTTATGGGGCTGGGGAGGTTGAAAGACCCTGCCCCTGGGCTTTGGGGGCAGGGACAGAGGAGGCGTCGTCACGTCTGGGTGACGGCCATGGCCACATAATTTATGACTCATGTACAGCTCGCACAAGAATGTCTCTTATGTACATATAGTACTCCTATGTACACACAGAACCGCCGCTGCGAAACACATATTCAAATATACAGCGAATAAAGACGCAAATTGCAATCGTTCTTGGTCTGAGTTATTCGCTGAGATTGCGACAAATCGTGTCTGTCGTTCTGTCGTTTGATTACGAGTGCGCTTCAACATTGTCAGAGGCAGAGGAAGGGGCGGAGACAGAGGCCGCACCATGTCCATAACAATATCCATATATACTGGTACAGCCACAGGCACAGCCACAGCCATGGCAACATCAGGGACAAGGCCTAATAAGGCTGTAATCCACTTTTATGGCTTTTTAGCCGTTATCCAACCACTAAAGGAGTGATATATGCAGCATATTTATGGACAAGGAAAGAGATAGATAGATAGATTGTAAGATACGACATGCAATACTCTTTCTTGTAAGGATACCACATCCCTATAATCTTTGAATACCGAGAATGCAAAAACAAAGTACACACCTTGCGTGGGAGCGAGACTGATCCTGGGGGTAGGGAGAACCGAATCTCTGGACCAAGAACTGATATTTATTTGTTATTATTACAAGGATTGATGAGAACACATTTTAAGCCAAATCTTGGGTTACAAAATAGTCTAAAGAAGCTTCAGCTGACATTAATGCATTATTATCTCTTAACAGGAGATAAAAGAAAATTATTTGCAAGTCTTAATCAAACCCCTAACTTCGGGTCTCATTCAAAAAGCGTGCCTAGTGTCTCCCTGGAAGATGAAGGGATTTATTAGCACTTCCTGGAAGAATTACAGGGTACAAATTACCCATAAGCGAACAAACTCTATACAAATGACAGCTCGTATTTCTCGTAAAATCTCTGCTAAAAGCTGAACTTGTCTAGCATCCCAATCTGCCTAAACAAATTTACATGCCCAAATGGAAAAAGCGATCTGCATTTGAGAGCATCAAGCATTCTATTGCCGGTAGGGATGGGCGGTGCAGAAGTTGTCGCCTGGCTTCTGTTGACATTTCTCGATTGTCATGTCAGAGGCGATGAAATTTATAGAAGGGAGCATCGCAAACACAGATACGAGAACGGATGATGCCACGCCAGATGGAAGACCATGGAGAACCAATAGCCCCGGAGCCAATATATCAAAAGTGCATTTGCCACGGCACTCGGTGGCACATTGACACGTATGTGGCAGATACGAATACGAATACGAATACGAGTACGAGTGTGTGGTGTCTGGCAAAGCCGCAAATAAATGAGATTTGCACAAGATGTTGGCCAACCGAGCGGACCGGCTCAAACACCGAATCGAACAACCGAATCCCCAGCCCGATGCAGACACTTTTTAGAATTTACTCGGGCCATAAAGTGACACCGCACTACGACGGGAAGGGAAGGGGTACCAGGGGGCCAGAGGTACGTGCAACATGAAAGCAGCAGCAGCAGCAGCAGCAGCAGCAGCATCGGCTGTGCTATGCTGTATCTAGCAGATACAATCTGTCATAGACTAACGCGTTCTGTAGCAAAAGTTGCAGGCAAACGAAACGAGTTTCCACTGGGGGTGTAGAAGGGGGCAGGCTACGTGCTCCCTGGCGATAATGTCTCGGCAATAAATGATTTATAAGCAATCCATGGCGATGGCTGTTGCTGCCTTAATTACGCTGATTGCACCAGGTTAGGGATCAATGCCCGCAAAGCTCAGCCACACACAAAAACAAAAAACATAATTGCAACGAGTGGCAGAGGCAGTGGCAGTGGCAGTGGCAGACAACGAGGAGGCCTCCCTTCAATCAGTAGAATGTCCACTTTAATTTAATTATTTAAAGCGAAAAACAATTGAAGGCAAAGCCAAGTTAAAGACTGAAGACAGGCGGGCAGACAGACAGTTACTGCCCTTGGCCCTCAGCCAGGCTTCCAGATTGCTGTGGACATCGCCGGTTACCCCATCCATCTGTATCTGTATCTGTGTCTGTGTCTGTGTCTGTACGGGGCCTGCTGTGCGTAAGTGTCGTAATAGCATTTAAAGCAATTACGGGTCGCATTTGGGTCTGCCTCTGGCTCTGCCTCTGGCATCCGCCACGGGAAATGAAGGTCCTGTGACATCCGATGCGATAAAAATGAAAGCCAAGTGATAAATTAATTATGAGGCAAAAAATGCACAAGAAGCAAGGCGGCGCAAGCATTTCGATTCAAAGTCGAAGCTGAAATACTCTCTAGTGTATTTCTAAAGATTTTTAAAAGCACGAATATATCCCCTTCTTTCATGGTAGTTTTTGTAAACTTTTAGTTTAGTTTGAGCTTTCAACAAAATCCCCATTAAATCGTAGAAGTGTCTTCCTTCATTCTAAGCTTCTGCAATAAATCTCAGGGCTCCAACATTTTCGAGCGCCAACCATTAGTCTAGGCTTTATCGTTTGGCACTCCCGAACTCCACGATGCCGGCTTGAGCCGCCTAAGACTGACAAACATCTTGGCCAAGTTAACATGGCTCTTGGGTGTTCGTGGCCTGGCTGTGATTACCATGAGAGCAACACTTGTTATAAACGATGAGAGCCCAAAACCTGTCCATGTACCAGGCGCTTATCACCGAACAATGTCTGCATTCAGCTCTCGGATGATTTATGGGCAGGGATTATGGGGCGCAGGGGCACCGAGGGCGAGGGAGGGAGGTGTGAGCTTAAAGTGTCAAATGTTGTTGCACAAAAACTGCAAAATATAATCAAATACATCAGATACATCCACAAGTACACATACACTCGTGTGTGCCGACATACAGATATGGAAATGCTGATGTGGTAGTCACATGTGCTTTATGGCCAAAAGTTTTTGCGTTTTGGCTGGGCTTTGGGTCTGGTCTGGGGGGGGGTTGCTGGTTTAGCAAATTTTCGCCAAGCCAACAAAAGAGCCGCACCACATTTGGGGCGCCACAAGCGCATAAATTGTAAAGCAACAACAACAACAATAGCTAGACAAATTTATGCAATGCCGTGGGGAGGCATGAGGGAACTTAGTGGTGGGGCAGCAGTGGCAGCAGTGGCAGCAGCCGCTACCCCAAACAATCAACGAGCAAATGTTGCACGTAATGCGACAGTAAAAATGTGGCCAAAACAAAAGCGCAAAAGAAATGTTGACAGCGGCTACCAAAACAGAAAACAGAAAATAGACAAAAAAAAACGCACAGGGAAAGAGAGCTACAGAAATGGCAAATAAAATTGGTCTCGCTTTCTGGCGAAAAATCTCATTAAAGACAAGTCCCCATATGCGTCTCTGGCCCCTGCATCCGGAGTCAGGAGTCGCGGGAGTCGGGAGTCGCGAGTCACACAGTCCGTCAGGAGACAATCGAATCAGCTGCCTCCCAGCTGCACTATTAAAACTGATTTATGCTCTGCCCCGAAGACACACCCACGCATTGGCATTGGCGGTAAACGCACTGCCAATTCTCGTATAAATGGGCA